TATCTATCTATCTATCTATCTATCTATCTATCTATCTATCTATCTATCTATCTATCTATCTATCTATCTATCTATCTATCTATCTATCTATCTATCTATCTATCTATCTATCTATCTATCTATCTATATCTATCTATCTTATGAACAACTCATATTCAATATGTACAAGGAGATCCTCCGCTGCTGCTTGAATAGCATAGTGAACAGTGTTTAATGCCCAATCCAAGGCCAAGTGTATGATGACTGTTTCATTTAGTTTGCAATATTGTTTTTCTCCCTTCTCTCTGCACCACCAAAACTTGTACTGGCATTATCGGCACAGAAAGCGACAAGTTTATGTGATATTCGATGTGATTTCAATGTTCCCATAATATATTGGTGCTGTAGAACAGATGTGTCTCCAGTTAAATATTTAAATTTCAAGATTTTTACCTGAATACTTGTTGGTGGCAAAAAAATAGCTTACAAGTATATAGGAAACTATTTCACCTTTTATACTTGGATACATTAATGAACATAAACACAAAGTTTGCATTTTCCAACTCATCTTTTAAACGCTTTATTGCAGTAAAGTGTGTACATCAGTATGTATTTAAAGGATTAAACGTAAAGTTAAAAAATAAATAAATAAACTTTGTATGACAGCCCTTGAAATGATGTCTTACAAAATTAATTAGGCTCACCTCGAAAGCCGTATTGACGAGTGAATCAGCCTTTATTATATGGATGAAAGCGTAGCGTAGCCTACGACCGTAGCGTGGGCCTCTTGACTAATCTAATGTATGAGGACAAAACGTATCACTGGTAAGAACGTAAGTGATTCGACACGTTTTGTCCTCGTAAATTAGAATCATTGGTAAGAACGAAAAGCCGCCCCCCCCCCCCCCCCCCCCCCCCCCCCGAGGCTCTGGTTGGCAAGTCTGTAGTGGCTTGTTCTCTAAATGAGGTGCTGCCACCGACCCCTTGACGCTACCCGGGGGAACAAAACCACCAAACCACGGCGTGAGCCTGCGTTGGCGTTGGTATCTGTCGAAAATAGTAGCGTTTACCAGTACCAGCTGTGGAAAATCTGGAGCTAGAAATAAAACCGCAGAAACAGGGTAGGGATCACGATTACGTGTTGCCGTTAATGGATATGAGCCATGAGATGGGTGTGGCCATCGGTGAACGCTCCTTCTACTTCCATGCGCCCACGTTCTGGAACCAGCTCCCCTTCCACATCCGTCATTGTGAAACCTCGTCCACTTTCAAAAAGTCCATTAAAACATATCTGTTTAGGTCCGCCTATGTCCCTCTCTGCCCTGCCTCATTTTCTGTCTCGGGTTGATCCTGTAGTATAGGCCGAAACGTCCCAAAGTGTAATCGTTTTTATCATTTTAATGTTTAAGCTACTGTTTCTATAGTCATTTTTAATATAGTAGTTACTATTCTAGTGTCTCTGGTTTTTCATTTTTATTTTACTTTAGCAGTTTAAATAGGTTACATGTTTTTAATCATTGTAAAGCGCTTAGAGCTGTAAGGAAAGCGCTGTATAAAAATGCCTAAATAAATATAAAAAAATTGAAGGAAGCTGTTCCTAGGCAACTGTTTTGTCCCAGCTGTCCTGTCGAAGGGAGATCTCCAATGTGCCGCTTCATGATCCGATACTTGGTCTTAAGGGGAAAAAAAGGGGGGGGTGATGCTTTGTGGAGGGCATAAATAGCTTATTACAAGCTCGATGGCCCGCTGACGCCATTTCCTAATGTAAATTTTCATTTCAGAAAGAACCGGAAGAAACGGCATTGAATGCATAGCAATGGCATGGCTGATACCATCTGACGATCCGTCCAATCAGCCTTTCGAATATTTCCATACTACAAAAATAGCTTTAGACTCGGAAGAAGGTTGATTTACCGTCTGACGGCATGATTGGCATACATTTTTAATCAGAATGGATATAGGGAAAATTATGCAGTTCTTTGGACAGCAGCACAGGCCGGGACATTTCCTGAAAATTCGGGACGTCGGGACAGGTTATCCCCTGTTTCCCAAAGGGGGGCCCACGCCCCACAAGGGGGGGGGGGGATTTTGATTGTTTAGTGATTTAACAATGATTTAACTTTTAATAGGACTAGGAGAATCGTTAAAGTATCATGAATGGATATAGGGAAAATTATGCAGTTCTTTGGACAGCAGCACAGGCCGGGACATTTCCTGAAAAGTCGGGACGTCGGGACAGGTTATCCCCTGTTTCCCAAAGTGGGGCCCACGCCCCACAAGGGGGGGGGGGGATTTTGATTGTTTAGTGATTTAACAATGATTTAACTTTTAATAGGACTAGGAGAATCGTTAAAGTATCAATTTAAAACAAGCGTTCATTAAAAGTATTGTAGCAATCATTTAAGTCTCTTCTATTTTTTAATATTAAAACTTATGTTTATGATCACGTGGGATTTAGAATTTTAGAAAGGTTTAGGTGGGGCATGACACACACAAAAAAAAAAAGGTTGGGAAACACTGGGTTATGCGAAAATAAGGACTATCCCGGGTAAATATCAAGGGTAAACGGAACGTCTGGTCACCGTTAGCAAGTGCGCGGTAGCTTGAACAAGACTGTAAGCTTCTGGCACATACAAGAAGCTCCACGGTTCTGAGACACAAAGCTACCATATTATTTTTTATTACAGTATGGCATGGCCTTTATCATTTTATGTATTAGCTTGTTGTTACATAAAGTTATAATTTGATGCGCTCTTGTGCACTGATTAGCCAAAGCCCAAATTCACGATTATGGCTGATGGATTATTTTCTAACTTTGTAAAACGTATAAATAGTTTCTTCAATAGCTATACGTGTGTAGTAGGAATAGACAACGTGTAGTCTTCCGCTTCGGTCAAATAAAAGACATACACTTTATATAATAAGTAGTTCAGGCTTAGGGTAATACGCAGTAAACAACAAACTTGAAACATTTTACCATCATGGCAATGTTTAGAAGAGCTGGAGTACTTACACAGAAAATTGTTTCGAACTGGGATACTAGTTTTGTACAAGCAACAGCAAATTATCACAAAAATGTTTGTTCTTCATTTGCATTTTTGATAAATCTTGTTTTTCATGCAACTTTAACTTTAAGTTAACTTAGTCTCTTTAGACAAGACTAGAGAAACTACTAAATTAATTTAATTTGATGACTTTTTATGTCTATGACTATGTAAATTAATCAAATGTAGGCTAGTTAATGTTGTCGAATTAACTCTAATTAGCATATGATGAGCTAATCCTTAGTTAAGTTACGGTGACCAGACAGTCCCTATTTTCACATTATCCATTTTACTCATCAATATTTGCATCACTACTCCTTCAACCATCCCTGAACTGAATGTTTCCAATGATCATGATGATGAAAAATGACATGTTCAATCTCATGCTCAAGAAGTATTAATAAATTACTCACAAAACACTTCTTCTAATTTTCAACTCTATCGTTCACAAATATTTCACCTGCGATTCCTGATTAACTCACCGTAAGGTATCAGTATATCCATAACATACTGTATACTATTTAATGCACACTAATGAATTTGTTCTTTGCTGTTCAGGATAACATATCTTTCAGAAGTCTATTTTTACAAACGTTTTTTGGCTTTGGTGCCCCCCCCCCCCTCCATTGTCCAGAAAAATCTGGTCACCGTACCTTATTAGGGCTACTATACCTATTTGATAGAATAAAATAGGTACCAGCACCAGCAGTTACCAGTACTTTACCTTTTACTTATTAGTACCATAATAAATAAATAAAAAGGCCTAATAATGATTGAATTTAAGATGAATTGACTGGGAGGGGTGAGTTGAGCCTTACGAATAATTGCGGCTTCCTAGAGCTCAGTATTACTGTGGCAATAGGCATATGCAATACAATGACACTTTCTGTTTCTGCCCCTTTGCTGACAACATGCCACTGTCACCAGATTATAACTACGGTATTGAAATATCTAATAATTGTCTAAAATTGAATGGTCTAGAATTTTTTTTTTTATGCAAATGAGAATGCATTAGGTTTTTGGCAGGTCAGCTTGCACATTTGAGAGATATAACCAAGACGTTATGCTCAGCTTTGCATTAAAAACGGCAGTAAATATTTTACCTTCGGCATGAAATAATAATATGTACTGTAAAAAAAAAAGGTTAGCATCATAAAATTAATTTTAAGTCTACAACAAATATTATTGAGTTATTAGTTGGACCATTCACTCCACCTTTGCACCTTTCTGATTAGACTATTGTACATGATGATCCTATCGTTGTGCTGTATAAAATGCACATTTCAAAAATACATTTTAAAATGAAAACTTTAATCAAGTATTAAATTAAAGAAGCAATTTTTATTTTGTATCAGTATTAGTATTATGTAAAAAAGAAATCAACAGAATGCTCATAGGGTTACAAAATGGGGTGATTTGCAGTCCCATACTAATGATAGATAGACCTTTAAAAAAAAGTAGAAACGGTCTCAAATTTCCATTTTGATTATGTTTGATTTTAAAACTATGATTAATACAGTATAATTTATAATAATTTTTTTGCCAAAACCTCTAATTCTAAGGCAATGTTCATCCCAAATTAAGTAAAGTGTCTCCCTCTACCAAACAGTGGCCTAAATTTAAAGCTGAGTAGTAGTAGGTCTATTTAAGACATATAATTATAGTGCTAGTAACTAGACAAAAACTATCAGTATTACAGTTTTTCTTTGAAACAATTTTTTTTTTTGGGGGGGGGGGGGGTTTTCAGGTGTTTAGGTGGGAAGTACAGTGTGAAAATTAGGCAAAATGGCAACCAGGGACAGGGCCAGCTATGAATCCGAGTCCCCCCCTAAAATTTAATTTCTTCATGTGGAGGAGTCACTGGGGTATACTTTTAGCACCAGCTTAGTTTCACCCCTGAAATCTATATTGTGCAACTGTATATACAAATTTAAAGGAATATCATTTTTATGTCACTTCAAAAAAATCATTTTAATTACTAACTATCTTTAAATGTTTTTAAAGTTAAAATAGGTTGATGCTGTACTGTGATTGGAGGGCAACTGCAGGTCGGTTGGGGGGATACAATAAACTTTTATAAAGAAGTTAAGTTTATCCAAAATTATATTTAAGCCAATGTGTATGTAACAAAGGAAGCATTGAGCTCTACTCATTGATTAGTTCACCACTCGCCCTTTCCAACATTGGCGGCCGACTTATATTATCTAAAATTATTGTTTGGCTGTGATTATCTTCAATAGAGCTTCTGATTACTCAGAATTACTGTATATAATAATAAATTAAATATTACATCTAGATATATTTAGAATATACATAGTTATAGGGCATAATAATATCATTATTCTTGGCTGACACTGATACACCATGACCATGGCATAACTTGTGAGTGCTGATAATAAGAAACGGTGTGATTATGAAATAGAAATAAGATAACTATGAGAATGAGTCACTATGACAAAGCGTATTTGATGTTTTAACTTTAATTTTATTCAGATATGGGCATCTGGCTGCTGAGTAAAACTAAGGTACTGCCTGGTGTTTGGATTGGGAGTTAATGTTTTCATTATGAACCATTTATATTTACTGTATCTAAAAAAAAAAAAAACTTTTAATTGTGAAAATTTCTGCTCCCAGGTTATAGATCACTATGAGAACCCTAGAAATGTCGGATCCCTTGACAAAGAGGATAAAAATGTTGGAACAGGTCTTGTTGGAGCACCAGCATGTGGAGATGTTATGAAATTGCAGGTGTGTCTAATTTCTTTAATTTTGGGAGAGAGTTAAAAGGATATCAATCACAAAATTGTGAAGTTGATAGTGGCAAACTGGATCAAAATGATCAAATAGAAAAAAATTATGGGGTCATGTAGCAACAATAGAATAGAAACTATTAATTGAGGAAATTCCTCCAATCTCTGGGTTGCGGTCCATCATAACGCGGTCTGCGGCCATGGCAGAATGGGTCAAGACACGAGTTACATCAGGTCTTGGTCCAGGAAACCGAGGGAAACACACCTGCCTGTTCACCTCCACACGGATAATGTGGGGGCTTCAGTTGGGCAAAGATGTTAGGAGCTAGGATAATGGCATATGATTACAGTTGCCACTAAAGGATCAGAGATAACACAAGTCATTTTCATGGGAGCTACCCGTATGGCATTTCCTGGGGTAGCCAGATGGTTCACCACTATGACGAAACATCCCAGGAGAGCTGCCCAGAGGCACCTCCCCTCTGTTGTAGGACGGGAGGTCCAGTGATATGGGAGTCTATAAGAGCTTCAGCTCGGGTCACCAACGTAATTCAATATGTAAGAATTTTAGAATGGAGAAAATAGGATATTTCATTTGAATCTCATAAATTTCATTTCTTTTTTTTTTTCTCATTATTCAACAGATCAAAGTTGATGAAGATGGGAAAATAATTGATGCCAAATTTAAAACATTTGGGTGTGGCTCAGCCATAGCTTCAAGTTCACTAGCCACAGAATGGGTCAAGGGTAAAACTGTAGGTTTGGTTTCCATTCATTAACTTTTTTTCAATTGGTCAGTTACCGTGCTATAGATTTTCATGAATATTTTTGTGTTAGTTTTTTTTAATATTGGTACAGATACAGAAATAAGTAGTTATTTAATTTTTATTAGACATCTTAAACTTGTGGGCTTAAACTATTTAATTACCCCAACATCATGATCACCTATTTTGTTTAAATAATTGACCCCACTGATAGGAATAATTAATATTGTTGTTTTAAGTCTCTCTCCTTTCAGTTTTTAAATGCTCATACTTAAGTAATACTAATCTGCAATATTTGACATCATTTATTATTGTTACCATGGAAGCCTGCCAGCAGTTATGTACATCTGTTATAGCTGGGAATTTATACTTTTTTAAATTTGACTGTGAACAAATTCTTTCAAATCTTATTCAGAGTATGTTATTGCAGGGTCCGAGTTAGATTCCACATTTTTTATACCGTACTATGAAAATTATTAGAAAGAAAGTTGGCATAAACTGAAATATCCTCGCTATATCCTATTCTCTATTGTAAATGAATATATTATTCATTGGTCATTGCTTCTCTTATTATATATAATACCGGTACACACAAACAATTATAATATAAGTTTGTGTGTACCCGTATGTGTATAAAGTTATTCTCAATAATTTATTTTTTTAAACATGGAAAGCGGTTAGAGTCTCAGAGACAAACCTGCATGTGTTTAGTTCATAAATAGTCTAATGTAATTTAATGCATTTTAAAAATTTTAAGTTATAAAAACAAACCTTTATTAGAAAATATTTGATCCTACAATGTGTTGAACTTAAGTGACCCGTAGCATTAATCTTATCCTTTGCCACCTTAATTGGCATTAAATTTAATTCAAATTCAATGCTTCAGTTTATAATTCATGCGCAAAGTATTTTGAGATGTGGGAAAAGCAAAATATTTGTAATTGTTTCCTGAAAACCTAAACATTGTTACCCTAGAATAATATTTTTAGAAAAATAAGAATATTGTGTAACGGATGCAAACGTCAATTTTCTTCTTTAAAACTATTAAAAGCATTAATAATAATATTAATCAGTGCATTATTTTTAGTTTTTACAAGTCCTATATAAAAGTAACTGGTGTCAATAAAGATATCTTCAGTGAACAAGGGTTTATGGTAATATTATTTTTGCCCTAATGAAAAATCTTACTCAGGTTTTTAATAATTTCTATTTATCATAGATTTATCATAAATCTAAAGCAACATGTTTTTTGCTACTCATTTGATAGATGGATGAAGCCATGAAAATCAAGAATACAGAAATCGCTAAAGAACTTTCTCTTCCACCAGTAAAGCTACACTGCTCAAGTAAGTAAATATGTTAAATTAGTGGTTCAAACTTCCGTACAAGAAAGTAAATAAATTACTGTTTGAAATGTTAAAGAATTATTGACACATGTGAGTATCTTTATAAAACTCAGCAATTTCAAAATATTACTTTGCTTACCGGTAAAATAGGGAGACAGGAAAAGATTGTTACCGGTATCACTGATGCCAATGTTAATTTTTTTCAAAATGGGGTTCATTGAAATGATCTGAAAGTTGGAAATTATTTGGTTAGCTTGTACCTCATCTTAATCTCTGTAATACTAATGACTTTAAGTTTTTGATTTTATTGTGTTTTTTTAATTACACTGTTTGTAGTAGGGGTTTTTAAAAGAAATTTTAGTTAATTTGCATATCATTATTGTTACATAACAAACGAATACCAAATGTTTTAAATTTAAAGCCAAAGTGCCTAGGTACTCCAAGTTTAATGAACTGTTTTGTAACATATGTATAATGTTGAAGATGTTTGACATAAATAGTCTTGCTATTTCTTATCTTCTGCAGTGCTTGCTGAAGATGCAATTAAAGCTGCTCTCCAAGACTACAAACTGAAGCAGTCTAATGAAACACCACCTACTGAAAAGAAAGTAGCAGCTAATTAGAGGTTGTTATAGAGTTAACATACTGTATCAGATCAAATAATTGGATATTGCTACAGCTCATGGTTACGTGATAAAACTAAGAGTATGAAAGAATCGTATAATCAGTTCAGTACATAAAGAAATTTGTTCTTTCATCCTTATGGAAAGTTAACTGTATCACAACCTTAGATTAAACTGTAAGATTATAACATCAGTTTACATGTAATGTACCGGTACCTGGTAACCAGATAAGAGAGTTTAAAATGCAGATTCACTCCACACTGCTGTAAAAACAATTTTTGAAATTACATAAAGTCAGCTGATTTCATTCATCCAAAAGGTTAAAATCTATTTTGAAATATTTTTTCTCTATCCTTTAATATTGTGAAAATGACCTGACTGCAGGAAAATGTCAAGGTGGAAGTTAATTGAAGATCATATCCAAGAAGTAGCAAATAAACTTTTTAATAAATAAGACCCAATTAAATTGTTAACTGTAAACACTGCTACTGCTATAGGTCAGGACTAGTTTAAGCTATTAACAATAGGGTAATGCGCATGTATTTGCAAAAACAAGGGTTTCAAGTTTAATTACCTTAGTCAGTGGTCTGAGTGGCAAAGCACAAACCTTATTTTTGAATGTAAATACTTTTCTGTAAATAAACTATGCTAATATTGCTCAGGAATATGTGAGTTTGTTCACTGTTAAAAATATTATTTCAAAACATTGAAAGTGACCTGAATTCAATCCATCCTTGGATCTAGAAATAAGTATTATGGGTATCATCATCTTGATTTTAGGGAATCCAAGCTCCTTTCTGATTTTTTATATCGTATCAGTTCTTTATCAGGAATGTGTTTACAGTTGTTGTCAGAGTTGATACTGTAGCAGCAGCATTTTCTATTCCAGATTCAAAAAATGTGTGAAACAATTGATGTTTTAAATGTTAAGCTTTGACTTTTTTAATACTGTATATTACTGTCAAAGTTTGGAGGATCCTCAATTTACCTTTTACAAAATTAAGCAATGAAACTGTTGTATCCCAACAAATACAAACATGGCAGCCACGAGACCTAGCTGTGAAGAGCTTCTCTTAATAATATTTACACTTCATGCATAGCATACAGGAAAAAGGGAGATTGAATAGTTTGAAAACAACTTGAGAACAAAATTCAGATGATGCAAATTCAAATGAACATTTTAGAATAACATAATATACAGCAGACACAATAATCAAGAAAATTAATATTCAAAATAGGAATTATTAAAAAAACTGTTTAGAATTCTGGAGTGTATTACCACATTAAAACCAAATTCCAGTTAATACACTATTGGTCCTATTAACTATTTTCCCAGTACTGTTTCAAAATAATGACATGAAATTTAATTTTGTAGCCAAAACTCTGTACCAGGTTTTATAAATTATTAGATTTTGGCTTCAGCTCATCATTTTTAAGCAGAATGAGCTCTTCCTCCGCAACACAAACGCATCAGTATCTGAAAATGGATTTATTTCATTTTTATATGACATTAATAACATGTTAATATGGTACCAGTAGCAAAATGCTTGCAGATTATGATCTTGTAGAACTCTCTCCTTAGGTTCAAGGGGGCTTGGACGTTTGTTTAGTAGACTAAAATTAGACAAGGTTAAATTGTTTTTTTGTACACAGTCAAGATAAGCCTGTGTTCCAAATTGACCCGGCTGGGGGTGTTCATGCTAGCCACATTCGCACTTATTGAAAAGTCTGCCTTGCCCTGGTGGTCGCTACTAATACTACTATTGAAGTGTTTGGAGACGGGACGCTGTTTATCTTGTGTAATGTTTCGGAGGTGTTCGGTACACCTGTCAGAGAGACGGCGTCCAGTCATCTGACAGCGGGTGCAGACAAAGCCGATTTGGGTAGTGCCGATTCTGCAATCATTTTCTGGATAGTCTCTTTCACCATGTCGTTACATTTGGTGATCAGTGATTTTAGTTACAGGGGTGTTGGTCCTCGGTTGGTAGAACTGGCTTCTTGTTGCCTATGACTATGAGCCTCCTTGATGTAGAGATCTCTGTCTTACACAACAGCTCCCCACTTGTCAGCTGGTTTGATGATGATATCTTTACGACTGCGCAGCTTTGAGAGTGCTAGTGACAAGTGATTCTCTTTAGATTGGATTTCTGAAGTGGAGGTAAAGAGAGGTTCTTGATGTCGTGTTCCGTGCTCTTTATTATAGATTATATTATATACAAGACTAAAGCTTTAGATTGATTAGAAGGTGGTGTCCAATTAGATTTGCGTTCCCTATCGGGAAAATCTCGTCTTCGGGGAGGTCGGTACTTTTCCCACCGAAGTGAAACTGAAGTCTCAAGGAACGAAAGTAGCGGTGGGAATCCAAAAGAAGTTGGTAGCGGTCGCAAGATGTTTTCAGTGGATTAAATTTGAGACCCTTAGAAAGTACTGACCTTTCATCATCAGATAGAGGAAATTTAGGGGGGGGGGGTGCAAACGACTAAGTTGTTGCCAGTGCCAGTTTTGTGAGGTGTAGAATTGTTAGTGGGCCTAAGATTGACAATCTTAGTAAGATTGTCGGGTTTTTTCTTTTTGTTGGTAGAATTTCTACTAGAATGGAAGCGGTACAGTTCCCGATTAAGTTGGTGAATAATTGTTCTAACAAGGTCATACGATAAGCGTTATAAGAGGTCTTAGAGAGGATGCGATCTTCAAGTTGGTAAATGGTGGCACTGAGATCGGCGATGAGACGCTTATATTAATATTATAGTAACATATAGCTATGCATACGCATACCGTACGCTGAAATGCCATTTTCTTCTCAACTGATTGAAGTTTGGTCCTGTCGTTAGAGTTTAGGGAGCCTGGTTGAAATTTCTCGTAAAGCCTTTAGGTACAATGCGGAGACGTATGCAATTATTCTTTCTTTTTAATTAAATTTCTAAACTAATACCGGTACTAATAGTAATACTACAAAAAAAATTATTTCACAAGAAGTTTACTAACAATCCATCCAATAGAAAAACAAATACCATATTATTAAACTTAATTAAAGTGCTTGAATCGATCTTTTAAATGGTACGGTATAATTTATCAGGTGCATGTTACCGGTACTGTAAGTTGTGTAAAATATCCCAAAAAACTGCTTCAACTGCTTCTTAGCGGTTTGGAATACTGTACCGTACCTAAAATTATATTTTAATACTGGTAAGGTCATTAGTTTCTTAATAAAGTTAATCAAAATTCCATTGAATTTGCACCCCCTGAACATTGATTTTACCATGTTATTAATTTAGTCTCGTCTGGTAGGAATCCTTAACTCCTGCTGCCACATTTTCCCTTGATGTTGTCAGTGCCACTGGTCATTTTATTATTTATAGAAATAGAACCAGTATTACATTTCTTTAATAGAGCAGGTATCTGAAGGTAAAAATCTCATCAGTGGTTGATCTGAATCCATTACACTAAATTACTCATACTGTTCTTATGTGACACTTAAAAATAAAGTGACATGATTGCATTGTCAGTAAATGAATGGCAGCTAGAAAACCTTATACCGATATTACATTTTCTCACTTTTTGCATTGGAGAAAATGTCAGTTATTTCACAAAACGTTATAGTAAATTATTTAAGTGCTTGAATCGATCTTTTAAATGGTATAATTAATTTATATTATTTTTACAATATTAAATACATGTTATAAAATTTAGAAATATATGCTAATGGAAGTTGTGTAAAATATAATTGCTTCTCATCTGTTCAGTGTACCTAGTTAAAGGATATTCAAGTTAACTTCCCACTGGCTTGATTTCAAAACATCCATATTATCCCAACATAAGGGGAATAACTCATAAATAACATAACTGACATGTCAAAAGTACTAGTCCTGTAAGTAGTTGTATACCAGTACCAGTAAATCATAAAACATGTAGACCAAGTTCTAAAATCTAAACTTCATTGGATTAACTGTTATAAACAGAATACATACAAAGAAAAGACACCAATAATAAAATGGAGAAGAGTTTCAATTTATTTGTACATTCATTTTAATTTAAAACGACTTCAGTAACCCAACTGTGAGAGTACTTTCTGGTGAGTCTCGATCTTCTTTGCAACATTTTGTTTGGCCTGCTCACGCAGTTTCTGTTAGAATAAAAACAAAATATAGTACTGGTTAAAAAAAAAGATACCTTTCTCCTCTATTTTGTAGTGCACAGTAGTATGTAATGTAAAGTTTCTGTCTCAGATATAATAAATAGTTTCACTGTCATTCAATGCGCTGTGGTTATTTCATCATAGATAGAAACTTGATACTAAAATACATGTCATAGCTTACCAGGAGACGTTTCTTGCGTTCATAGAAATGCTTGGACTTAACCTTCCTCTTAGCTTCCAAGGTAGCAACTACACCTTGATATTTCCATCCAACCTCATGTGAAAGCCTGTCCAGACTACAGAACTGAAGTTCAAAACAAAAAAATAATAGGCAAGAGTGAGACCTTAGTCAAATGAAGCCTCACCATTATACTTAGTCTCGTAATATTATGCCTCAGATGGTAGTGCATGTTTTAATAGTATTTTCATGAACTCATCAATCAGGTGTAACAATCATCACAGGCATAAAAGAACTTTGATCTAAGTCTGTAACATTGGCTTAAAAGACCATTGTGTAAAATACTCAAAAATGTTACTGGTGTAAATTATGCCCATAGACTGGGGTACTGTAGGTATTGCTTAAAAAATCAAGTTAGTGTTGATCACCAAAATCTTTTGTTTCTAGGAGATGAAATTTAATGAAAACCCTAATGTTGAGCGCCAATTAGAATATCCTTAACCCTGACTCGCATATTATAGAAAAACGCCATCAGAAATTAATTTCACATTTTGAAAAATATCTATACTATACATGGGATACATTTTAGATGGGTAGAAAGTGCCTCAGATGGTAGTGCATGTAAAATAGTTTCATGTTATGCTCAAAACGCTGTGGTCATAATCATCATAGGCCTAAATAGAATTGAAAATTTTGTCCAAACTCTAAATACCTGCTATAACCATAATTAAATCCTACTAAATTTAGTTATACACTGGCGAGCAACTTACATTAAAATGTGTGAATTTAACTCAACACTGAAGACCAACTTACATTAAAATATTTGACAATCTTTGCAAATGCTTATTTGGATTGTGATGTGAAAAATTATGATTTTTGAAACATGGAGCCCGAGTAGATGACTGGCAAATACCTTTGAAAACATCACCGCAACAAAAAAAACTTTTAAACAAATACAATAGAATTATTGTGAATTTTTAGGTTAAAACTCTGCCTCAGATGGTAGTGCATGTAATATTAGTATCACTAAATATCAAATCACGCTGGGATTACAAATCATCATAGGAGAGTAAACCTAGCAACGGACAATATTGCTGGAAGTTAAGCCATATACTTAAAGAGTCAGTGAATAATAATAATTAAAAGATAAAGATACATTCATTACAAACATGAAAATTTAGAATTCCAACAAAGAAATGAATCAATGTAATCTAAATTTATTTGTTTAGCAGTGACTTTGAAGACCCTACTATGTGCAGAATAAGCCCCTCCCCCCAAAAATCTTGACATGCTATCTTTGCTTTGATTACATTAAGGAATGTCTACTTATTTCTAAAAGAAGGAAGTAACCATTTTGCCATTGATATACATTGTCAAATATATTTTTCAGCTGCTGAATACTGAATAGTAATGAATGAAGAAAAAATGCATCCAGATTGAATTAGGTTTTAGATCGATAGTGCCTCAGATGGTAGTGCATGTAAAATAGTTTCATGTTTATGCTCAAAAAGCTGTGGTCATAATCATCATAGGCCTTATTTGCATAAAATATATGGTCCAATTGCTACACATACAACCCAAAGGCCAAAAGCAACAACCACACAAAACTTTTCACCTTTAAAACTGATAAACATATCTGACTACTTTGCCCTAACCTAAGTTTATGTATTTAAAAATGATGTAATGAAATCCATGATAAAATTAAGGTTTATTTACTGTTAAGACATTAAAACATTACATTTAGTCAACTACTCAACCCACCCCATTCTCACATAAGGTACCCATATTAAACAATTTTACTTTATTCAATTCCTTCAAAAATTTCTGTCAAAAAAATACAGGGGTGTCCCCCTTTGAATTGAAGTAATGCAATCCAAATTTTATTTATTGACACTATATAACACACATTATCCTGTGGAATATCCCTGAATCACTGTTTTCATTTAAGCATTTTGGAATTATTCCTATAAAGAAAATTTGATTTCGAAATGGCTCCATGCTCAAACAAAAAATTCAGCTAACACCACTCCCGATCAATCACAAAACAAGCCCCCATTAAAGTAAAGCATGTTAACACATAGAAACAAAATGCAATCTGTTTTCTATAGCGAGCGACTTCTTAACCAACGTACATTAAATCATTCACATTTTTAATGATTTTTGCCAGGAGGTGTGTGTGTATTAATAAAAAAAACTAACAAAAATTTTGCTGTTATATAATCAATTATCCCAAAGCATATTCTAGATATCATAAACAAGGACTATCAGATCTATATTTCAATATGTAGCCATCCTCAGAAAAAATTATTTGTCATCTAAAATCAAGCAATGTAGGAAAACCATCATAGGATGAAAAAAATTATAGTGAGAAAAAATTATTTGTCATATAAAATCAAGCAATGTAGGAAAACCATCATAGGATGAAAAAAATTATCATAGTGATAACATCCTTTAAGTTTTGCAAAAAAAATTTTTTGTTACCTTTCTAATTGGATTAAGTCTTAGAACTTTAAGGGCTGAGGGAACAACCATTCGTTTCTTTTTGTCATAAGGTGGTGGGATGCCCTCGAAAACTTTGAGACGACCCAAAGCTTCCTTGCCCCTGGCAGTTTTGTGAGGCAACATTCCTGAAAGAATTTCCAAAGAAAATATGTATAAAAAAAGTATAATAGCCAATATTTATAAATCACCAAGTGCCATATGTTTATCAACATATATAATTATGGTGTACCAAACAATTTTGAAAAAAATAAATGATTGATCATCAGACATATATTGATTTCATTAAGCTCAAGGTAGGTAAGGTTATGTCATCATGTGTACAATCAATAAGGGAATAAGACACTTTTAAAGCCATAACATAAGCTTAGACGTACCTCTTATAACCCTCCAGAACTGTTTGCTTGGAGCACGGAAATGGAAAGGTCCACGTGCAGGGTTAACATTACAACGTTTCTTCAAGTACTTCAAGAACTTCACTAAAATGAATTTAGCAGAATTTGAAAAGAGTACATGAAACCAAGTAAGAACAAATTTTTAAATAATGATATGAAAAAAAAAAGCTTCTTCAGACATGAAATTCAATCATTTATATTCTGACAATGTAGGTATGTAAACATCATTAGAAGCACATTAATATGCCAGATCAAGAATAAAAAATTAATTATGAACAAAGTCATACAAATTAAACTATTTTAAAACTAATATTAAAACTCACGCTTGTTCCTGTAAAAATTTCCAGATATGTTGATCCCCTCACATCTGACAACCACAACTCTCTGTCCTAGATTAAACAAATAAATCATAATAAATTAAGCAATATACCTGACAAAAGTGACAAAAGGCTCTTGAAACAACCTCGAATGTAAATTGAAGGGTAGTCAATTTTATGTTTTAAAATTTCATTTCCGCCTATTTGAAAGGCAGTGTCTACACGTCCGGACAAACACTGCGGAAGATATACATCCGGCGGGCATGTCACGTGACCCCCGTACGACTAGTGGAAGATATTCCTGCAGCAGACATGTCATGTGACTGCCGGACAACTTCTTCTTCTTCTATATCTTAAGGGCCCACGATCAATTTATTGATCATTTTGGCTCCTATGCATGTAGATGGGATTTGCAATGTTTCTGTTACTGGTGTTGATGAGGAAATCATGCACTAGGGGTTTGAAGGCTTGAGGCAATAGACACAAATGTGTCTAGTGTTGTCGCCTCAACCGTTCCTTTTGAAAGATGGTTCCAGTCCCTGATTGTCTTGGGCAGGAATGAGCAGCTCCTATACTGGCTTCTTGCTGGTATGAGCCTGAATTGCCTGTCATGGCCTCGTCGCTGTCTATGGGGGAGAGGGACGAGTTTCTGTTTAATACTGGAACAGTGGACCAGCCCATTATTTATCTTGTACATCATGGAGAGCCTGGATTGTCGTCGTCGTTTCTCCAATGGTGACCAGCCTAGTGTTTCTAGCATGCTGCCAACACTAGAGGTATTCCTGTAGCGGTTTAGGACAAAGCGTGCTGCTCGTCGCTGGACCGCCTCCAACCTGTCAATGCTCTTCTGGGTAAATGGGTCCCAGACTGAAGATGCATAATCTAAAATCGGACGGATAAAGGCTTTATATGCTCTTTCTTTCACACAGGAGTTGCCAATCTTTAGATTTCGCCTTAAGAACCCCAAGGCTTGGTTTTGCTTGGTTACATACATTGTTAATATGCTCGTCCCAGCGGACTAGTAGGCGTTAACATTATTCTGGCATGTCATGTGACAAGTGGTGGCCGGCAAAATAGTTGCATTGCATATTCCAATATTGTGTACATTAATTATTAGTCAGCCGATCCCTAGATAATAAATAAATGCTGAACATGTTAATATAATCAAATGCTTTGAGATACCTAAAGGTGTTTGACTTTGCATATGAAACTAGACTGCCTATATAATAACTAGTAGTACTATTACTACTATTACTAGTCTGATTCCGACTCTTCAAAGAAAAAAGTCCCTTATCTTGGTTAAATATCTTGAAAAGCACTACCTTGAAGCTTAAATTTAAAATATGAACCAAATAAAATAAGACCAGTAGACTTCAATAGAACTATGTCAATAAAGTTGTATTTCAGGATTAGTATTACATGAGAAGTAGGCTAGGCTACCACTATATCTGCCCTATATTAAGATGTAGTAAGGTCCATTTCTTTGTGAAATATCAGCCTCCCCACATTCAACTTAATTATTTATCACCCTCACTATAATTTTTTTTACCATTCTTATTTTTTTTATTACCGTAACCCTCTCTTCCTCTCAGCATTGCTTCCTTCTAGAATGCATTGCTGCTTAACCCCCCCCCCCACTTTGTTTTGTTAATATACCCAAGTATTTTTTTCTGTTAGGGATTTCAAAGGTCTCACGCGCACCCAGTTTGTGCATACCCAAAAAAACGCAAAACTTGTGCCGGATAAATCCCTCTGTTGTGCCTTGGTTGATTACTATTTTGATATAAATCCCCACCCTTTTGAAATCTAAATTACTAAAATATATGTTAAAGTTACGATCATGATTTCTCACCATTTAGAAGGGTCTTGGCAACAATGGCTGCAAGACGTCCTAAAAGATGTCCTCTGCCATCAATGACAATGGGCTATACAAATGGGGAAAAGAGTTGTAGCATAAAAAAACATTCAAAGATTAAGATTCCATCAATGCAAAAACAGTGTTAATTATTGAGCCTAGGTTTAGGTAATTTACCACTTGAGCGTCGGCCAGGAAAAAATCCAGTTCCGGTTTGAAGGGCTATTTAAACAATTATTATTATCTTGTTTTTACGACGTTGTACATATTCTTCTTATCTACATGAATTCATGTTCAGCAACCGTTTGAGGACATGATATTTTCAAGAACTTCATTCTCGCCTTGGGGGAGAACTAAGCATAATGTCATTTTTACACATTACATTGATTTCTTCTATTTTAATTTTTTTTTAAATTTAATTGTTTTACATTTTCTATTTTTTAAAATTGTTGTGTTATTTGTTCTACTGTATATGTGCTGGAAGAGTATGTACAACGTCGTAAAAACGTCTTTCCCGTGTTTATTAAAGTTGCCATGAATTAAGGTTCAGGGATACATTTTGGGTTGAGGGATACATTTACTTAGATTTAGTGACAGAATTAACTGGTCTTGTCAACCAAGATGGAGGCCAACCATGGCATCCTGTCTTCCAATTTACCTAAATCCCTATCAAATAGGGTGATTGTAACTTAATTGGGACTTTCATGACAGGAAAAAGGTTATTTGGTAAATGACAATCTGCCTTATTATAACATATTGAGAAAGCATTGAATAAGATTGAAGGATGTGAGCAACTGGAACACAAGTCCATAGTGTTACTTTTAATAAATGCCACCCCGATACACTTGAGTCACACGGACGGTGTAGTTAACATGTACTCCAATGTGTGCCAAATTTACACAATCTGGTTTAACAAAACAATTCAGCACGTGTTATGAGTTTCTATCTATCGGAAACAGGTAATGTGCACTAAAAATAATTAACTCTAAAACTCGATTAATTTTAGTAGAGACAATTTTTTTACGTAAATAATGTATTTAATTATCATGGTAAAAATTGAAATGTGAAATAATTACTGGTCCACTTTAAAATCGGCGATAATTCTCAGAGACATTTTTTTCAGTAATGTGCACTCCTCTACCTTACCTGACTTGTGAAACCCATGGTCGCGATCAAAAAGGAAGTTACTGTCCAAATTTGGGGCTGACATAAAGATTAGCAAGGGGGTCCTCCCTCAGAGAAAGGAAACTGGAAAACCATGTGACTAGACGAGCTCGTTTCTATTCGCCACATTCATTTTATAGGATAATTTAATTTTAGTACCGGTACACCAAACGTGTTTTGTTACAAATTCTTTGTTTATATTTGATTCTTACAATTTGTAACATCCACAATAAACAAAATAAAAGTGAACAACAGTCAGAAAATAAGCAGGAATCCAAAAATTACTGAGGAATATCAACAGAAGATTGAAACTCAACGAGAATTGTCCATAGGGACAGGAAATCAGCCAAAGACATTGATATAAACGAGCAATGAGAAAAAATGAAGCAAATGGTTAAATGTATAACAGAGGAAAGAATAGTATTTAAAGCGAACGTGAAAAAAAAACAGGATTGTGTGACACGGAATGCAGAAATAAAAAATGCTCGCTACTAATAATGCTGCAATGGCTACAAAATTCGCAGAAAGAAAAAACGTATAGTAGAGATAGAAGAGTTGGCATAAGAAAGAGATGTGAGGGGAATGTACATGAAGATAAAGTAGGAAAAGATCGGCTTTCAAGCAAGATTCCACGTGTGGGAAAATATAGGTGGAGAACTGATCATAGATAGCAGTGGAGTAGGCTGAGTAGGCCTACTTTGAAGCAGTGGCGTAGCTAGGGTGTTGCGGACCGCACCGGGTGACACCATCTCATGAGTGACACCAAATTGAAAAATTGAATATTTACAGAGCATAAAAGGATAACCGATCAAACGTAACTTTTCCAAACATGTAACCAATCCAAGTTAGAGCTTTATTGAAAGTTTGATGTTGATTCGTCAGAAATGATGTAACACTATAATTAGGTCAGAAGAGCACCATTTTGACAATGATTAAATGCCGATTGAAGTGTTCGGTAACTTTAATAAGTAAGAGGGAGCTATATTTATCTAAATTCTGATAAATGCAATGTGGTCGGGCCATTCCAAGCACATGAATCGAATCGGTAAAAATTAAAAACATTTTTTTTTTTAAGTGACTTTTTACCAATTTATAGAGTCAACAAAATATTTAAATAATTAATTAAAATTTATGTCATTTTTAAAAGAATGTTTTTTGAAACCAAATATATCGAACCACAGAACTACTCAAGAATAAATATTTTCACCAATTCGTAAAATTTTAGCACGATTGTCATACAGCACAAGGTCTTTAGCGTGCTTTCCGTAATTATCTGCTACCTTAATCTTTGGGCTGATCTACTTGAGGAAGTTAATCTTACACAGCCGTATCTGCAGACTAAAGGTTTTACTCTTGAGAAATTGGTGACCAACCTAGAAGTATGTTTCTGCACGAGAAGTGCTGTCATTTGGTGGAACATACTATTGAAAATGCACTTTTAAAATCAGACCAATACGGAATTTTGGTTGAAAGATTAAGGTTTAAGAAGAGAATGGCCGGAGAACAATTAATAGATGCTGGACTCTCTCTCTCTCTCTCTCTCTCTCTCTCTCTCTCTCTCTCTCTCTCTCTCTCTCTCTCTCGCTCTCTCTGTAATAAGAAAACAGTAGGGAGATGCTGAAGTGTATTGATCGCTTTCATTCTAAACGCCTGTTTAGATCATCAGCGATCAAGAAAGTGGCAGATATGTTGGGGCTTTTCAACCCAAGAGTCTACCATCAGCTAGTGAAGAAAAATTATTGGTGTCCATTCCAAAATTAACCATGTCTATGATGAATTATCGGAAGATACGCTTTTAAAAGAAATAACAAGGTCTAGAAGACACCTAAAGGCAGCTGATATTGAATTTCACAAAGTCATTAACTAGTCAGTATTTAATTTTTTTTTAAAATTCATAGCTAAATGGGACTTCCTAGAATCTCTTCCAATACTCTCGCAAAGCCTTCAAATGTTTCTTACGATCTTTGTGTCTGTGGCTTCATTTGAGCGTAGCTTTTCAAAACTAAGGCTTATCAAGAACTATCATTCAAGGCTTTCTGATATGACTCCACTAATCAGTTGAAATTGAAAGTGATACGGTAAAGGATATTGATTTTGATCAAGTGGTTGAAAGGTTAGCAGCTTTGAAGAGTAGGAAAGGAACATTTTAAATAAAGAAACTTTTATGTAAAAATAATTATAACTTAACTTTGTTACAGTTCTTAAATACATTTACTTCCTGAACTTCAAATAATTTGTTTATTGTTCTCGTAATTGTTCTACTGTGAACTTATATTAAACAAGAAGAAATCCATTGTGGAAGTCTTGGGGAGGGGTGACACCATGAGTTTAGCGCACCGGGTGACACCAACCCTAGCTACGCCACTGCTTTGGAGGCTTACTGAATGACTCAAGTGGAGAAACCAATGAGGGTTACGCTCTACCACAAGGAGGACCGGACCCATTAGTCAACCAACCAACACTGATTGAAATAAAAGATGTGATCTTTACCATGAAAAATAAAAAAAGCCCCATGAATAGACCTTGTCTCTGTAGAACTGATTTAAGTAGGTGGAAATTAACTGCATAGGCAAATACACGACCTCATATCCAGAATCTGACAGGAGGTAGAAATGCCAATAGAATTGGACATTGCACTTATAATCCCAATTCATGAAAAGGGATCTCCGTGGGTCTGCTCAAACTATAGAGAAATCTCCTTCCTTAATGTAATGTAAAAAATCCTCACAAAACTTATAGTAAGAAAACTGGAAAGTTATAATGAACAGATCCTAGGGGACAATCAATGCAGATTCCGGCAGAATAGGTAAAACCAGGATCATATTTTTACTATTAGATGTCTCCTGGAGAAATGATAAGAATATAACATCAACATACGTGGATTACAAAACAGCATAAGATAGCGTAGACATGAATTACCTATAAAATGATCTACAGGAACTTGGAGTCCCTAACAAACTTACTCGACTCATACATATGACGGTGGCTAACTCCAAAAGTAGAATCAAGGTACCGGGAGAATACTCCAGGGAGTCCCAGTCAATCAGGGCCTTAGCCAAGGAGATTCCCGATAATGTATCCTGTTTGACAGAAAAGATGCCAGATTGTAGAGCAGCAAAAAATGACCTATAGGCAGAAACATAGGGGCAGGCGGCTCACCGGTCGACCAAGACTAAGATAGATCCACGATTTAGAGAAGGACTTCCACCAGCTTGGGGTTCGCGCATGGAGGCGGAAAGACATGAGCAAGCTCCTCGTGTTACTCAACGGCAGGGGTCTCAAACTCAAATCATCCGGGGCCGCAGGAGGTAGAGTCTGAGTGAGACGGGGTCGCATCAAGTAAAAAAAAAAGCGATTACAAAGTCAATAAAGTACAACTGGTACTATCTGCTCAACCCTTATTAATAAAAAAAATATAAAAAATAAAGGGTTCTCAAGAAATAGGCTTAACTTTCTTCCTCCTACTCCTGCTTGACAGAAACATGACAGCGCTTCTTCTTACGCAACATTTGGCTTGAGTGAGGAGCAACTGAGACCCTCTGTATAGCTTGAAGATGCTCATCTTTGGCTTTGACTAGTGTTAAATTTCATAGTGGGAAAAGAGATTTTCACACAGATAGGTACTCCCAAATTCATTTGAAGCGCAAGTGGGGGGTAGGAGGTGGTGCACATCTTCCACTATAAAGGATCAGGAGAAGGTTGAAAAGTGGCTCTTTTTGTTTTAACGTCTAAAAACATGTGATCCAATTTTACCTGTTGCTTTGCAATGCCATCAATATACTCAATACTGCAGGCCTGCACAACTCAAAATGTAAGGCGGGCCGTAATGCATTATGAAAAAACGTGTGCGGGCCAAAAGAAAATAGGACAAGACTTGTGCGGGCCAAAAAAATATAGGTCATGAAGAATGTTATTAAGAAAATAATAAGAATAACGAGTTTTTCGATACCTCGTGGGCAACAAAATGGGTGCTGGCGGGTCACATACGGCCCGCGGGCCGTATGTTGTGCAGGCCTGCACTACTGAATGGTGTAGCCGAATCCATGTCATGTTGGGAAATGGCAGAGGTTTCTCTAAGAACTATAACACAAGTTTTGTTCCGATGCCCTGACGTTGACATAGGCAACACTGACAAGTCTTGCAACTTCTTGTTGAGTAAATTCAGCTCCCGTGTAATGTCAACAATAAAAGCCAAGTCCATAAGCGATTTGGGATCACTCACAGGAAAAACCACGTCATCCTTCTTCATGAAGGCTTAAAATGCTAAAATTTGTTCAAACAGTAGGCAGGAGCAGGCAATATTTATGAATTATTAATGGGAAGGAAGATGCTATTGTAGGATTGTAGGGACAATGAATTTTGATTTTTTTATCGCAGAAAAGGACTTTTTGACTAACCCTATTTTGAAATGGAACCAAGCTCACATGCTTTGAATTTCCTTAACTCGTTAACAGTAGGGGCAATTTTAATAGGGATTATTTGATACTGTGGTAGATTGCTACGATTTACACAATTGTGGTTGTGCTTTACCCTCTAACTGATATGTTAAACTTTTCTCAAAAACCGCACTTTGGCCGCCATGTGTTGTCTCATAAAATGCTACCAAATAAATACGTTTAGTCCGGTTTTGAAACACTTTTTACCATTCTAATCAACGTCCAAATTTATACCAACATAATAAAAATCAGAATAACGCTAGGCGGTGAGATTAGAATGAAACCGTCGCGGAGGGCCACATTATAGATATTAGAATGGGGGAAACTCGCGGGCCGCATTACACTAAACTTTGCTGTCATGTGGCGGGCCGCAAAATATCGTCTTGCGGGCCGCGAGTTTGAGACCCCTGCTCTATGGCATATAGCCACACCTGAACGCTATATATTTTCCGTTTTCTTCGACTTTTTAATTTCCTTGGTTTCTATGTTGTAATAAAAAGCTATAATCCTCACGACCTCATTTCCTGTATTCCTAATAAATTTAAAACGATATTGCCAGTTGCCACCAAACTCCTCAATCTCTTCACCACTCGGCTACATTTACTACAGAGTAATTCTTACAAGAAATCGTGCACCGTATGAGTACAGGGGATGAATAATACAAAAGAGGGACTATATGTGGGAGCCACGCTGACAGTCATCTTTAAAGTTGAATGAAGTTTTTTTTTTTTTTTTCTTGGCTGAAGACGGATGTATTATTCTCAGTAACATGATCATATTATTTTTCCTGAGAAAATAAATGAGTTTATATTGAGTTATATTAAAGTACTGTTCCACAATTATCTCATGTGATTTGAGTCATTCTACATCTAGACTCTATGAATGCATGCAATTTATATGCGTGAAATCATGTACCTATATCTAATCAAATAAAATGAAGCGTGACTATGTGACGTTCTAAAGAGAGCCTTGGGAACCTTCGGAGGCCTCGATTTGATTCTCTCTTCCCCCCACGTTTCCATTCTGACGCGATTTAGTGCATATGACCGGGGGGGGGGAGGGGGGGGGCGATCATTTTAATTTTGTCCGTGCCGATCGACGATTTATATCGTTTACAGTTGTTTTACTAATAATTGCGACTTTTTTTTTCCTCCGGATTTGTGTTGAAGACATTTTTGTAAACAAAGCAATGGCCACGCCTACTCCAAGCACATCAGACATCAGGTGTTGCCAGACCACGTATGTTGTCAAGTTTGCAAGCAGGGGAGCTTTTATTGCTAATTATCGATGCTGAAACATGGGCCAATAACAATTAAACATTTAAATCCTATTTAAGTGTGGATTTTCAGCTTTCTGATACTGATGCTGATACTGATGGGTCGGTAGAAGTAGATGGAAATAGAGGCGGTGATAGTGAATCTAGTGATAATAATAGTGGTGACAGTGTCAGTGGGGATTCAGATAATAATAGGCCTACTCCTGCTCTTCCAAAGAGAAGTCGAAGATCAGGCAGAATAGCATCCTGAAGAAATATAGCTGCTACCGTTAGCTATGATGGTGACAAAGGTGATCAGTCAAATAATAATGGAAGGAGGAAGGCAAGACTGGGTGAAGAGGTTGGTTCTTCATTTCATTTTAGGGAGGTTAACAGTGGGTCACGTCTGAATTTGCCAAAAAATGCCACTCCATCTGATTTTTTAAAACAAATCATTACAGATGAAATTATTGATTATTTGCTGACTTTAATAAATTTCAACTCTTTTACAACACTCATGTCTTCATAAATGGAATACTGTAACACGCCCTTATCTTCTGAAGTTCTTGGCTGTTCTTAAAAAATGATTGGAATGGGCCAAAGGCCCCACATTGGTGATTATTGGTTTACAAAATGCCATAAACGCACTACATGGTACGAACAAATGTTTTCAAGAAATGAATTTCAGCTGCCTTTCCACACAGTGATGCGCAAGGGGCAGCTAAGATTGGGTCTTTGTGTCGAAGCTGCTATTTATTTAAAAAAAAAATTATCTCATAATATTATCAATAAAATTTAAACTATTATTGTAATTGTTATAGTAATGTTTAAGTTCCTTTAATTTGATATCAAATACAGCTATCTTGCTAAGACAATTCTATTCAAAATTCATTAATAAATAAGAGGACCCTAAAAAATTTTCATTCGCCGAAAACTGGTCTGGCACAAATGTGGAAACCCCCCTGGCATGGAAAGAGTTAAAGTTCATTACTTCAAGTTTTCACAGTGCCAAAAAGAACTATATATAATATATATATCTATGTGTGTTGTTGTCGGTGCGGAGGGGAGAAGATTTAAATTCCGTCTCTGGTGGCACAATGTCTTGTTACACCACTGCATTTATGTTTTCGATGCAATTTCTAAGCGCAAATCCAAAAGCTAAATGAGCCCTTTCAAACATCATTAACATATTCCAAACTTGGTTATTTCAGCTTATTCTTCTTAAGTGGACTTCAGTAAGTGGAATGTTCTTCACTCACTTGAAAGAAATTGATCCCTCTTCCAATCATGGACTTGGATTTTAGCTTTTGGGAAGTAAAGATCACCTTTCTCTTGTAGTAATGTCAAATTGTCAACAATTAGTGAGTTATTATTATTACCTTATTTAAGCTTTCAGTCAGCTGGTTTTGAATGCTTCCAAATTTTCATCTTTCCATTTCCAATCCCAAAGTACACTTGCTGGTGTTAATTTAATTTGAATATTCAAGTATGTCAGTATTATAATAACCAGATATGCCAATTTTCCATTGGCTCGTGGATGTGTTAAAATACTTACGCCACTGAGGTGTGACATTAGTCTAAGTCAAAAAGCAGGCCTCGTCTTTATATGTGAAGTAGTTAATTAAAAAAACAAGTTTGATTGTCAGACCGAGAATGAGATATTGTGATTATCTATATGTAGGCCTACAATTTAGTCAATTAAATTAAAATATTTGATACCTAATAGATCAGCAGTATTTAATAGGTTCACATGGTTGATTCAAGATTTTGATATAGAATTAGAAGTATAAAAAATTTAATTTATAATCCATATCCATGGACACTGACCCTCACCAAAACAGCTAACATTTTTGGGGGGAGCTAGTCATCTTCTAATGGATGATGGTATTCGTAGCATGGGTGAGGTGTTTTATGAAGAAAGAACTGTTTTTCTAGTCACCAGATCACCTAGCCCCCTCTCTCATTTTTTAGTTGTAGGCCTATTTATAAGAAAAATTGGAAGTCTGTTATTTTATAATAGTTTAATAGTTTTAGCAATACTGACAGCATTTACTTAATTATTGCAGGTATAGTTGTGAAAAATGTATCTTTTAAAAGTAAGACAATTTCCTTGAAATCATTAAACAATAATTTAAAATTGCCATTAGTCCTTAAAAATATGATTAAATCTATGGTATGCTATATTAGGAAGGCAATATTTAAAAATTTATTTTTAAAACTCAATAAGTTCAATAAGCCATCAGATTTTTTTCTTGAATGCAGTTGTTAACAAAAACAATCAAGAAAATTAATATCTTTGGCTCCTTTATTATTATTGTAAAGACATAACAAATAAGGATAATGCAAATTTAAGAAAATAAAAACTAAATTATCTTTTGTTCCAATAATATTTTTATTTCATTTAAAAAAAATGGAATATATAATATATATATTATAATATTAAGAATAACATACAAATGCATAAGAATAGAGAATATTTCACAGTAAAATATTTTTTAAAAAGTACAGTCAAACCCGTTTATCTCGACCTCGGTTAACTCCTCAACCCTGTTATGTCGACATTTTTGAAGTGAAACCGCCAAATTCTCTCCATTTCTTAGCATTTTCTCCTCGCTTATATCAATTTTTTTATGTCGCCGAACTCTGATATCTCGAGCACAAATGGTGGCCAAATTTGCCACTTAACCTCGGTTATCTCAATCCCCATGAGCAATCGACGTCTTTTGAACTCCACAAGAAGAAATAGCAAGCATCAAATAAACAAGTTTTTCATAATTATTTATTTCTCAAAATACAGGACTTGTGTTTTAGAATGAGCCTAGATGTAATTTAAATAAATATGTTTTAATTTGAGGTTTAAAAACCTGGTAGAGTCCATATTATAAATGATCACAATTTAAAGTGTGCAAAACGTTGTCATGGGAAGCACGGTCACTTTCATAATGGCTATGCCATGCGTATTGAGTTAGCTCAAACAGTGCGGTACCTGGGTGTTTACCTAGACAGAAGACTAACCTTGGAAAGTCACCTTAACATGCTATGCAAGGCGATTTTTCTAGAGCTGCGCAGGATAAGTCACATCAGGCCCTTCCTAACAATTGATGCAACAAAGAGGTTGATGTCTGCATTTGTGCTATCACGCATGGACTATTGCAATGCTCTCATGGTGGGTCTTCCAGCTACGCTCCTGGATAAAATTTAGATAGCACAGAATAATGCGGCTCGAATTGTTCTCCGCAAAAGCAAGTTCGACCATGCAAAAACACTTCTGAGAGAGCTGCACTGGCTGCCGGTGCGTGCTCGCATAGAGTACAAAATCGCAACGTTGTGCTACCGCTGTTTACATGGCCTGGCGCCGTCCTATCTGAAAGAGCTGCTGACGCCTTATATACCCTCCGCTCATCCGACAGTGGCAAACTCTTGACACCACATGTTCGCCTTGAGACTTGCTGAAAGCGCACTTACGCATTTGCTGGTCCAACAATTTGGAACGCACTTCCAGTCGAGCTCAGAAACAATCAGACACTGGAGTCCTTTAAAACCGATTTAAAGACACATTTATTTCGCAAACACCTTCTGGGATGATTGTCTACCATATTTACCATTTAATGCATATTAGCTGTGTTGCTCAGGGTTGAAATGGGTATAAAGACTTTGACTTGGTTTTTATATGCTTGTAATTAGTTTTTGTAGTGTTGCGTTTGTTTTAAATGTGGTAAATTATAGATTTTTTTTTTTTTTTTTATTTAACTTACTGAGTTTGCAACTTCGCTTCCACAACTGGTTACCGGCGAATTGCTGGAAGTAAGCCGGGGTTTATTTTTTTTTTTATTTTTTTTTTTTTTTTTTTTTTGGTTAAATTTTAGTTTTTTTTTTTTTTTTTTTTTTTTTGTACCGCGCTTTGAGCCTTTGGGGATAGAGTTTCATTCATAAGAGTTTGCCGTGTACAAAAGCTATTAAACCATTGGTCAGGGAAAGCTTTAATTAAATAGTCATGTGCCAAAGTTGAAAGTTCAAAATAATTAGTCCCTAAATAGTATTTTGGTAATAGGGGATGCGTTGTCTTATATAAATTATATAGTCATTGCGCAAGACACTATCATCAGAATGAGGTCACAAAATCTGGAGGCTTTGTTCGTCCTTAGTAGAAAATATCAAACGAACTCTAGTAGCTCAAAAAGTACTATAGTTCTGGTTTCATTTTTTAAAAATTTGAAATTTGCTCTAAATAAGTGTAATATTAAAAACATTATTTATTTTTTTTTTTACTAAAGTACCTGCATTTATTAACACACATCATGTAAATAAAGAAATTTCAAGCACATGTTAATATATTGCCACCATCTTGGTTTTCTTTTATCTCGATATCGGTTATCTCGACGCTTTTTGGCAAACCCCGAGGCCGTCGACATAAACAGGTTCTACTGTAGTAAGAAAAATTACATGTGGTAAATAATATTGTACGTTAAAGTCTTTACTAAAATCTTCTGCTCCTGAATGTGTGGGACATTTGAATACTGGTACCAAAGTGAAATTACCAGGAGAAGCCACTCTTCTGCAGACTCCATCAATTCCTTTGTTATGGGGCTCAAATGATTTAAAATCAAGTTACATGGCCTAGATCGGGGGTTGGCAAACTGGGGTAAATTACCCGAAATGGGATAGAAATGAAAATATTGTAGGTAATGAATGCTTAGAGAAATAAATAAAATTATATAAAAAAGTGCATTCCCTGTTATGACAGAAATATTTGTTCTGACAACACTGTCCATCGTAAAAGAAAAACACAACCAATATCTTGTGGTTAGTAGTGGCTCAATAGCCAGCATAACTGCACATCTTGTCTTGTAGATGTCATTTTGGCCTAGTCACCTAATGTTTTAGCTTATGGTCAAAGATGTCAAGAGTTGTAAAGGATTTTAAAATTGCACATGAGGAGATAGTAAAAAAGTTTATGATTTATTGAGACAACCTATTGTTGCAAACAAGGATTTTCAACTCTAAAGGAAATAAAAATAAAGCATAGAAATTGATTGCACCCTGAAGATAGTATCTAAATTGATGAAAAACTGAAACATTTCTCCAAAATCGTAAATTTAAGATTTGAAATTAATCATATTTGTCTGTTATAAGGATTTTATTAAATTATTTAGCGCATTTATTTTTACTTAAAATATATATACTTCTACTCTCTGAGTAAATAGATAAAAAATTTTGATTATAAATAGTCTGTGAGATTCAAATCAATAAACAAATCTATTTTGAGGTAATAACTAAAAACGTCCCCACAACCCTGACCTAGAAGCACCAATTTATCTGAGGGCAGATGAAACATAAAAAGCCAGCTAGTATATTAGATTTCACTAATGATCTTTTTTAGGCTTACATTAACAGGATTGAGGAAAAATGTCATTTTGCTAAATATATAATTAGTGATAACTGTCTTAAAATAAAAATAAATTTACAGTACATATATGTAAGAACTATGTAAGAAAATTGTACAAGGGAATGAAATAACTATCTTAATACATTTCTTTACCAATAATTAATAATTAACATAACAATAACAATTTAAGATACGCCTCAATAGACAGGTACCTCATAATCTCTGAGGGCTGATTTAAGACGATTGGTAGCACTGACTAAACTTTCTCTATACTTGAGTAGGTTATCCCAGTCATTTATGTTGCGCAACAGTTGAGTATTTTTGTTGGCTTCAGTATGGAATTCTGGTGTTTTTAACTCATACCTGTGTATGTAAGATTGATTATAATTATACACTATTTTATTCAGGTTGGTTTCATGTCTACTTGTCTAGATGAGTAAAAATTTTCCCATCAATTTTTGAGAGATTAGCATGACTAGGTATCTGAAGGTTCTTCAGGGCTTCTGGTGGCATTATTCTTGATAATATATGAAAATAGCACTCCTGGCTCCTCATAGCATTACCTAATTAATTAGCTAAATAGCAGGAACAAAATGGCTAAGAGTCTCTCTTTTGCAAGGTGTTGTAATTTATCATCAGTGATTCTGATTTAATTAGATCCATTAGCTGCAGCTTTTATCATGTCCTTAAACTAAAACACAACTAGAATAGCCAGTACGGTATCATTCTCAAAATAAAAAATGGATGAAAGGTCAATTTAAATTCCAACTCTCAAATCAGAGCTCAGCACTACTGGACCTCTGAAAGGGAAGCTGGTGTGGCAGGACATGTGTCATAAGGCATTATAAAACATTGATGTTATCTCACCCACATAAAGTGATTGCCCAACCCCTCTCCCACAAAAGTATGTTATGGACTTGTATAAGTGTTTATAAAAAAATAGATCTCAAAAAACTTATACAGATGGCAATGAAAAGAAATAACACTAATTCCTGATCCAAATAAAAAAAAAATTAGGACTATGGTACTATGAATTTTTCGTAAAATTCAAAAGTAGGAAAAAAAAAAATGTATAACAGTGTTTTCTTTTTTTTTACTTAAAAAAAGTTTTAATAGCTCTTGTAAGCTTGTTCAGTTTTGGAAACATGAATATTTTTCTTTAGAGACCAGTGGAGGTACCCATAATTTTAAAATAGCAGTCCCGATCATTGCCCCTCCACTCCCACCATTTGTTGCATATCCTACACATTTCTTTTAATACTGACCATTTGGGCTTTGGTCCTCTAATCCTCTCAAGCTCAGCTTGTCTTTTCAGCTCTAAATACTGTTGCTCTTCTATGCGTAATTTTTCCATCCTTAATTTAGCTATGTCATCAGAATAAGGTGAAGTAAAGGATATGTTGGCTCTCTCTTAAATAAAGTATTAAACATTGATTTTCTTTAAGGATCTAACATTAAAAAGTTATTCATTTAATTATAACTTAGCTTCTTTTTTTTCCAAATATTTGAATGAATGAATTTGAAAACTCAGGCCTAGATTCAGGTACTGTGATTAATTTACCAGTACTATTTTTAAATAAAAAAACTATAAACACAACCATCTTTAAAAAAATAAAATGTCAGTAATAATATTACTAAAATAGACTGGTAAATATTATAAAGTGAATAAAACTTACTTATATGGGGCGCAAAAGCAGTGAGAAAGTATGCATCATCATTACTTCTGTGATGTCTATGAGGATTTTCACTATGGATCCTAGAGATTTCATTCTTAGAATTAAGTTTTCCTTCAGTTTCAGCCTTTGAAAGTCTTTTCCCAGGTTTCAATGCCTGTACCATTTCAAGTGATCTTGTTTCACCTAAAGTAATAGGAAAATATCTTGCTGCCAACAAATCTTCTTCGTCCATTGGAATTTTAACAGAAGATTTTAGATGAATTGGTTTTGTGTACCATTCAACATGAGACATAATTTGAGATGAAGGATGGTTTAAACTTGTCTGGCTAAGTTTATTATCAAAATGACTAATGGGCACATCATTTGCTTCCCCGAGAGGCTTTGTTATATCACCAGAAATGCATGACATAGCATGAAGAGATCTTCTCAGCTGAGGATTACTTCCATATTTCTCATGTTGGGATAAGTTTTTGGTGGTGTCTGTCAGCATAGATTTGGAAAAATATCCTTGACTTTGTCTGTGGATAAATGTATTATTTTCTAAAGGATTGTAACATTTAATATAAATTAGAATTCTTAGATTCATAAATTCTGAAATAACTGAAGGGAGAGAGGTGGTAAATAGATAATTGGAATAACTAAGGTTTTGGAAGCATTTCAGCCCTTGACAATATCAATAAGAATATTACAAAAATATTATTGTCATAGAATTTTTACACATCTTGGTCATAATTTCAAAAACAAAACAAACAAAAAATGCAGCAAAATTTTGAGAATGTTTTGTTCACAAGCCTGATCAAAATGCTCAAGCTCATGTAATTTTTTTAGTTTCAATCTAAAATAGGAGATTTAAAAAATTTAATATAGATATGGGTACCAACTTTTTAAAGAGAACATTTTAGACTTAAGATATGTCAAAGGTGTTGTGTCATAAGATTTTTTTACATAAATGTATTTTTTAGGGAAATAGTTGTCTATGAATGTCAAAAAATACTTGTTTCAAAAAACCTTTTTTTTAGCATTCTACTGGATTCTCAAACAAATAAATATTTTTTTAAAAAATGTGCAACTAGGTGGGGCAGATTGTTTATTATTCTAATATTAAAAAAAGAAAAGCAATTGGGAATTTCATAAATATAGGCTTAGGCTTAAGCATTAAAAAAAATCATCGGTTATTCATATTTAAAGAAAACACAAACCCATTCAATTTAATAATAATTGATGAAATGTGTACTGTTTGTATGTGCCTGTTAAAGTTAAAGTCTTAACTTTTGTAAAAAAAAAGAAAGATAATTAAACATTTTTCTAGCTCAGTAAACATGGAATCAAGTAAATTTAAATTATGCTCAGGATATAATTTTTAAATCATTATGCCGTCATACAATCTATAATTAACACCTATCCCTACTTTAAAAGTCATGCTTTTATGATGAAATGTAAAATTAAAACAAATTGCAGATGTTTGATACTGGTACTATAACTATATTAAAATTATAGACCTTAATACTGATGTAAAGGTAGTTTAATACAGTGTTATTAAAGTCTTTAAACTTGTGAAGTTGACAAAAATAATTAAAAAGAAATACTGATAAATGCAATGTGTAAAAGGACTTTGGATTTTAATCAGGATTGGCCAATTTTTGTAATATTAGGATATTTATAATCAAATTTTAATACTGTAACTGTAAGCCTCTATTAACAAGATTAGTAGGAAATGAGTAAAGCAAAGTTTGGTCGAACCTGAAAAAAGTAAAACAACAAAACAACGAACGTATCTGCGGGAAGGCTTCGTCAGCAAACAAACAGAAAAAACAGAATAAAATTAAAAAATAGCACTTAGCTGAGAAGCAGTATCTGAGCGGGCAGCAAAAGAATTGTGAAAGAAAATTAGTAGGTGAGAGAAGGGAAAGAAAAGAGGAGAAGTCAGTCCACTGCGACTGGTCGTGACGTGGAGGGCAGAGTAAAGGCTCAAGCTATGAATAAAGACATTCATGCCATGTGATGTCAAGGTTCCATAGGTTGTTTTCCAAATTCACCCGTTCTTTTGTTGCATTCCTTTTTTCAGGTTTGACCTTCCTTTGTTTTACTCATTTCCTATTTTGCTAACCTAATTGCAGTCTCTCCCCTTATAACCATTACCAATTAACAAGATTAGCCTTGTAATCAGTTAAAGTAAAAAGCACTAGTTAAAATTCTTTTTAAAAGTGTTATAAAATGACAATTTAGTTGTTTATCATAAAAGTTTTAAAAATTTTATTGAATTGTTTTAAACCTATTTGGGGTGGGGTGGGGGGTATTACAATATTAATTAACTTCGCTTTTGTTCATGTTTCCTTCTTTCTTTCTTTTCAGCCCCACTCCCCTATTGAGCTTGATATTGCTTTTTATATAGGATTTACACAAAAAACATTGTTTTTAGGGGTTATTAATTAGTTTAAGTTTAATTTAGTCTTCAGTGTTTAACTTCTTTAACTTTAGATGACTACAGACTACAGTAGTTGTAGTATGTAGTCCTACACTGATTATTATTAATTATTATAATTATAAGGATTAGTCTGAGTCTGTACTTTATGTGGAAACTGAAGTCTCTAGAAACTGTCAGTAGAATGTACTGGACTGTATGCTAGATAATAAACTGCACAGGGAGTCGCTCACTCACTCATTAAAGTGCTGTACTCTAATTAATAACACCTAAAGTAGTGTAGTAGGCCTACTAAGTAGTCAAGTACTGTACGACAGCTGTGTCTGAGTCTGTGTCTTAACTTTTACTCAGAGCAAGTCAGTTCAGAGTTCAGTCAAGAGACGCGACTGTCGAAAATTTATAAATGAATATTTATAAAATTATATTTCATTTTTAAACAATTAAAAATGTGTACTTGGTATAAACTGGTGGAGAGCCGAATAATACAAAATCGTTATTAGGGTTCGGGTAGTAACTAGCCTTCGACGCCATATTGTTTAATAAAGATGGTAGGCTAAGTGACTGACAACGACGCATGCGCCTTGGATGAATAATACCCCCCCCCCCAAAAAAAAAAAAAAAAACAACAAAAACAACAACCAAAGTTTTCAAATAAATAATTGATACGCATTTTTTTTTTGGTGCGTTTATGCAATTTTACACGATTTATCATTTATGTGATTGTAGCAACTAACCATAACAACGTCATCTCCCATATACGTTTCAAATACAATGCATACAGATATAGCAAAAGCTACACGATTAACAACGCCGGGCTTTAAGCCTTTAACTTTAGGGTGTGTGACCTGTGCCCTCGCACAGGGTGCCATGGCCATAGTAGCGCCTGGGGTGCCCAGTAAATATTTAAATTCGCTTAGTTTATTTTAGTGAAGTGTGAACCTTGGGTCCGGGGGTCGAGAAACGGTATTTTAACTTAATATTTTCGTACAATCGCTTTTCATACAATGATTTTTCATGCAATGAAAGTTGCATTGTTAATTTGGATACTAATACTGGGGTTGGAACCAACTGCAAGGGCGTGGAAATTGACTTATTAATACCGAATTTCCTTGTCCCTCTTACAATTATTTCAGCAGAAAGAATATGGGGAACAAAAAACCTTCCGGGGCGCAAAATCGCAAGCGTAATTCAGAAAAAGTACTTCGTAATCGGAAAAAGAGCGTGGCCATACAGGGACAGGAAAGGGGCGCCGAGCGTGTATTTCACCCTGGGAAAAGTTTACCTAAGGTGGGCGTTGCAATTGATCTCCACCCCGAAACACGCACCCATTAACAAATCACTAGCACCACCCTCAACGCTTAAAAAAACAACAACACAAAAAAAAAACCAACAACAAAAACTGATTTTTTAAAGTGGATTGGGGCTGAAAATTTGATTGAAATTGTTGTGGCAAAGAAAGAAAGAAAAATATTAAACAAAAGCGAAGTTAATATAAAGCACTTTAAACAAAAATTTTTAAACAACTTTATAAAAAGACCTTCTATCAAAGTCGAGTTTAAGCGCACTTAAAAGTAGAAACTTGTTTAACATTTTTCTTCTTCTTCTTATATTAAGTGCACTCAATCAATTTATTGACCATTCTGGCTCCTATGCATGTAGATGGGATTTGCAATGTTTCTGTGCCTGGTGTTGATGAGGCTATTTCCTTGTTCCAGTTCCTGATGTCTTTTCTGTTAACTGCTGGAGCAGTGAACTAGCCCATTATTTATCTTGTACATCATGGAGAGCCTGGATAGTCGTCTTCATTCCTCTAATAGTGACCAACCCAGCGTTTCCAGCATTAGAGTTATTCCTGTATCGGTTCAGGACAAAGCGTGCTCATTATTATGATATTCTAAAAAGCGATGGGGATGGCTCTTCGTAAATCAAAATCCTATTAACTTCTTTATTTTACAGTCTTGCACAGTATCGGACTAAGACGTCGTTGATTTTGTTTGCTTTATACTATTTATAGGCCCTCTTTTTCGACTCTCTCTCATTCTTTTGTTAAATTTCCGTATTAAGGCTTACAAGTCAAAACGTCTGTTTTTTTTTGTTTTTGGGTACAATACTTCAAGTTTCCTATTTCTCGTTCTTAGTTTTTTTTACTACTATTTTCTATTACTATTCCTTTCAGATTGAAGTGTTGAACCGGAAGTATTTCCTACTACGGAGAATTTATCTCATGTTAGTGAGAACTGTTGGTATAACTAACGTTGTGTTCTAGAAGTTTTTGAAAGATAACAACTAATAAAATGTCTGCAACTTCAGATACAGAACGTTATGATGGAATGCTGATGGGCTTAGCACAACAGTGTGAAGGAGGTATTCAAGAGGTAATCTATTTAGATATCTACGTAGCCCAGGCGTTATTAGATAACTTATTTATTATTATTAGGTTAGTCGTCTAGTCGTCTAGCTCATTAATAATAATTATTATTTAAATTATTATAAATAATATTTAACAATAATAATATATTGAATTATCATTATTCATTATTAAATAGGAATTCATTCATTTGGCTATTTTCATTTTTATTGAGTTGGTTCTGTTAAGTAATTTGGTAATCTTGCAGTTCAGGTGAGTGTAAAGTAAAGTGTAAAGTGTAATGTTTCTGATCGAATTTCAAATTGTGGCTTGTAAACTTATGTCATGTGTATTCTTTATAAAATTTGAATAAGTTTGATCTCCTTCCATTCACCCATGCCCATGCAGGAGCCTTGAGCCTTTGTTTGGAATTATATTTATACACCCCATATGAGAAAAAAAAATGAATTTTAGGCCCTATAAAATAAAGGAACTTCTAATTAAGTTCAAACCCCCCCCCCCCCCAAATCTTGCAGTTCAGTTGCGTATATTATTTCTGATCAAATTTCGTATTATCGCGTGTAAACTTACGTGTGTATTCTTTATAAAATTTAGTCCAGATAATATTAGTTAACACTAACACTAAATTGTACAGCACTAACTTTTCTTTTTATTGATTTTTACAGCCCCCATTGGTACATAGCCAATAGCGTAAACAATCTCACCATTTTCTTGTTTTTTAAAAATTCACTCTACATGCCAGATTGCAATTTTTCAACTGCAAGCATATTCACAAAAAACGAAACAAGAAATTAGATTTATAATAAATTATACAAAAATTATTTATTGATGCTTAACTTTTCAAACTAAAAGCATGTTCACAAAATAAATTTATATAAAATTGGTGTGTATATTGGCTAGTTTTAGGAAAAATTAAAATTATGAGTTCATTACCCTTCAATACCAGTCTTTGAATATGCATAATCAAGTGTATGTGTTCTAAGTTTTTTCTCGTTCCATTCACCCATTCCCATACAGGAGCCCAATGTTTGGAATTATATTTATACACCCCATATAGGAAAAAAAAAAAAGAATTTTAGGCCCTATAAAATAACTGAACATCCAGTGACCTCGAACACCCCACCGATTTCATTTTTTTTTTGTAAACATGCCTACAATTTGAAAATTTCGTTTAGCATACCAACCTATAGGTGATCAAAAATCTGGCAAAAGGGTGAAAAAAATAAAAAAACAAATAAATGGAGCTATGGATGGTTGGGGGATGTTCAAAGAGGCTTTAAAAAATAAAATAAAATGAAAATAAGCGCTGTATGATTCAGTATTAGTTAACTATCACTGCCTGGACTTAATTTAATCAAGAATGTGCGTAAGTTGACATGCGATAATGTGAAATTCGATCAGAAATTTTATACACACCTGAACTGCAAGATTACCAGTATTTTACTTCTTTACTTAATGTGCACTATAGCAGGCCTGCACTACTCAAAATATAAGCGGGCCAAACTTTATGAAAAACTTGTGCGGGCCGAAAGAAAATGGACCAGGGTTGGGTGGGGGTAAAGCTATTAAGAAAATAACAATCATAAATATATATATATTTCGTTACTTATGAAATAAATTTATGTGATACATTGCATCATGGCATCATTTTTCGGTAACAAGTTTGTCATAAATATGAGATGTGTTGGAAGTGGCTGTTCTCAAGATGTCTTCCAAATGATCATCACTCAAACAAGAGCGTGGCTTGCATTTATTAATGTTCATTATTGAAAATGACTGTTCACATATATAAGTTGTTCCAAATACACTAAAAGTTTTAGTGCAACTTCTTAAAGATTTTTGTACTTGTCACAGTCCAGATTTTTATAAAAATCCAGAAGGCTGCTCTCTCTGTAGAACATTGTATGTCGATAACCTCGAGCAAAAGGGAACTGGTATGTCCTCAGGATTCACAGAAAATGGATCTTAAATTAGTTTAAATTTAATTTCTTCTTTTTTAGAAAGAGTAAGTCACCATTTAGTAACTGGGTTTTGAAAAAGTTTCATATTCAGTTAAGAAGCTTTTACTGCTGCAAACATTTCAAATGCCATTTGTTTCTTACCTTGAAGTGGAACTTAAAGGCCATTTAGATGTGTTGTAATTTCACAAAATAAGAAGAGGGCATGATTCCAGGACTCTTCTTCAAGCTCAGGGAGTTCCTTTGCTTCGTCTTCTAGGAATTTAGATATTTCCTTCTTCAAAGCTTTTTCCCACTCTTAACCATCTACTTCTGAATGGTATATTACGTCTCTCTGTAGTCTGCGTCTATATCTTCAAGAAAAGCTTGAAAAGTCCTATGTTTGAGTCCTCTTGATCTTGCATAGTTGACTATTTTGACAACAATCGACATGACATGCTCTAAATGTAACACTTGGCTACACAAGGCCTGCAAATGTATGATGCAATGATATTTTGTTGTTTGCCTTCCGATAAAATGTTCAAGAAGCTCAACTGCTCCCTTATTAATACTCGTCATATTTTGGGCACAGTCGGTTCAAATGGCCCCTAATTTTATAAAATCTAATCCCAACTTCTCTTTCAAGCACTTTTCAATTCATTGAAGATATCTTTCCGGTTGTGCGACCTGATATAGAGCACATTCCAGCGAGTTATTTGGTAATTTCATAGTTTTTGCAGACCCCTGCCGTTTAAATGACCATTACCCAACCACAACAAGTGTTCGCAATAGCGTCGTTACGGTGTTATAGCTACACCCGCTGGTCTGTTGGTCGGTAACCCCGCTGTGCGGTTCCCCCAACCCCTGTCCCACACAGGTTCGAACTCTCCACAATATATATGTATATATTGTAAAAAATTCATACATTAATATTATCATTCAAGCATTCTTATACTAATTTTCTATGAAATGTTTTCATTACAGCTTCTAGATGTATTTTTTGGTTTCCTTGCAAGAAAAACAGATTTTTATTCGGGTGCTGGATCTGACCAAGCAAAAAAGGTGATAATGTAACCAAGGCCTTTCCCCTTTTCAAAAATGATTTATTACATCTTAGCAATGCTTTTGGTTCCTTGTAATTCTGACTTTAATAAGTAATAGTGTTAAATTCTATTAATATTAATTTTGTTATGTAATGATTATTTTGTTATGTTTTAGTGCAGTCAAAGAAAACTAACAATAAAACTATAGGATGTTACATAATTATAAAAACAAAGCAGTAAAAAAGGATGAGAGGATTTTACTCAAGAATTAAATTGAAATAATATAATTAAATATAATAACTACTTTAGACTCAGCTCCTCATCAATACAGTATATTATTTGTGTGAAAAAGTGTGTGTCTTGGAACTGTAATAACCAGTTGTGATATGATTTTGTAAGCTATTTACCTTTTGTTTCATATTAGTAAAAGGTATAATTTATTTTAAAAATACATTTTAACCTATTATCAATACATTTCTTAATTTCTTTATTATGTAAGCATTTTAGCAAAGAATGTTAACATATATTAAAAAAGGACAGTTCTTAACCAGATTTGACGACTGGAGAAGCTCCATCAATGAATGGTAAATGCAAATGAGCATGGATTGTGTTAAGATATATGATTACAAAACTCTTGACAGAGGTGAATCTCAACACCTGTAAACAAAATTTCCTCAACATGAGCTGAATTTATCTATTGGGAAAGAAAAGGTGTTCAATGCAAACTTTTGTCATTCTGACTGTACAATTGAAGCAAACAATCTAAAGGAATTATATTCAGTGCTCAAGCTTGGTTCATACTGTGTGTATCTTAAAACCTTGTTCTTGTCATGACTTAATTTATCCTTTGAGTTATTTAGTGACTTAGTATGATTACCAGTATTGTCAAAGAGGTGAGCAAATATTATAACAAATATAACTAACCATTGGCAGACTCAAAGACACTTATCATAGTTATTGCAAAAAAGCGTCTGCATGGTACAAAGCTATCAGTGCATTATCCCTCAAACCTTCAGTCCTTGACCTATTATTTTGCTTTAAAACACCTGTAAAATTAATTTTTAATATGATTTCTACCTTATTTCTAATTCTGTTGCAGATGGTTCTAACTAAGTTTGATCATTATAAAAGTGTAGTCTGTGAAAGACTGGAAAAAGAAAAGGCAGAGAAAGAGGCAGAAGAAAAAAGAAGGCAAGAAAGAATAGCTAAAAAGAAAGCAGAAGAAGAGAAGGAAAGATTGCAATCAGAGCAAGAACCAAAAATAAAAGAATTGACGGATGAAGAAGCAAAACAATTAGAAAAAGATTTACAAAATGTAAGTGTCATAAATGAGAATTTATTTATGTTGTAATATAGTTTATCAGAAGGACTCATTTAAAAAAAAATTCTTTATATTAACTTTGTTTTTGTGTGTTTAGGGCAAAATCTTTGGATGGCTAATTGACCTACTTCCTGTCAATCTATTGAGCTGAAACTTGGCACATAGACGAGTTGCTGATGATTACACATTCTTTCAAATTGTCAGCCCCATCGCCCCAACCACAAACCCCATAGATCAGTTTTTCCTGTTTTTTATGGGGAAGATGAAGGAAATATGATGCCACTGATGTCACGAAATAAAATTCCTCTTAACTGCATTAAATGAGATTCATAAAAATATTGCTAGTGAGTAATATTTGGTGTAAAAGCGGGTGTGGCATTTAAAGATTAATATAAAAATAATAAAAAATGCTTATAAAGGATTTATTAAAAAAAACTTTGTTTTTAAGGGTTGTTTTAATTTGTAATTCTTATGGAAATGAAGTTAAAGTTATCTGGCCTTAGTCACAGACTTGCCATTTGCCCACACATCGTTTGAAGCAGTTCAACTTACGCTGTCAGTGCCCCAGCAGAGTGTCCATTTTATGTGCATTTATCGCATCTGTCCTAGCAGGAAAAATAAACTAACTAATGCTGTGTTTCATCGGGAGTTCCCGGATCTGCTGGATCGTTGCAACACATTGGCTGGCACTTACATCGTAGTAGGCGATATGAACTTTCACTTTGACAAGTCAAAGAACACCTCCACTGCAAAGATGATGGATCTTTTGGACTTATTTAGTCTTAGGAAATCAGTCGACCAACCGACTCATAATTGTGGACATGTCATTGATTGGGTGCTACATAGGCCTCAGGATGGTTTAGTTAACTCTGCCACCATTGCCCAAGAGCTTTCCTCAGACCACTTCTGTGTTGTTTGTTAGCTTAGCATTAGTGCCTCTTCTCCTGTCCATCAGTTCAGGGAGGTCCGCAGTGTGAGTGCTATAAATAGGGATGCTTTTATACATGATCTGAGTTTGAAAGTGTCCCCCGAACTCTGCCCTACATTGGAAACACTAGACAGTGCATTGCGCACTGTGTTTGACCAGCATGCCCCCCTCACTCACCGCAGTGTTAGACCAGCACGGTCGGCTCCCTGGTACACCAATATAAGGGAAGAATTACACAGTGCCAAGAAAGAGCGACGAAGTGCAGAAAAGAAGTGGCTGAGGTCAGGTCTTGTTGATTTTAGGCAGATGTATTATGGTGCCAAGAAACGTGTGACCAGGATTGTTTGTTGTGCTAAGACTTTGTATTTTAACCAAAAGATAATTATGGGTAAAACCAGCAGGCAGTTGTTCGATGTTTGTGCCCACCTCAGAGGGAGTAGCAAAGGTATTTCTCTGCCTTCAGTGTATCCGTTGCCCCATCAAACGGATATTTTCTGTAATTTTTCTTGCAAGGAAAATTGCTGACATTCGCGCTGAGCTTGATCGTCTTGACATATCACCCCTAGATTTGCCTCCATTTTCTTATGTTAATTCACATTTTGAAGTTTTTCAACCGGTGTTATTTTAAAGTCTAAACCTCCTGTTGGTTGAGTCGTTAGATCATTTGCTCCCAACAATAACCCATATAGTCAATGAAAGCTTGTTTTCTGGCACTTTTCCCCCTATTTGTAAGTCAGCTGTCATCAAACCATTGCTTAAGAAGCCTGGTCTGGATGAAAATAATTTAAAAAAACTATAGAACTGTATCTAACTTATCATTTTTATCTAAAGTCATTGAAAAGCTTGTACTTAAACAACTTTTTGCTTACTTAAATGACCACTCTCTTCTCAGTCCTACTCAGTCGGCCTATAGACCTTTCCATAGCACAGCTCTCCTGAGAGTCACCAATGACCTCTTGCTGGTACTGGACAGTGGTGATATCTCCATCCTGATCCTCTTAGACCTCAGTGCGGCCTTTGACACTGTTGACCATGAAATCCTTTATAAAACCCTGGAAAATTACTTTTGAATTTCGAGATCAGTTTTGGCTTGGTTTAGGTCCTATCTCTCCAATAGAACGCAGGCGGTCGCTGTCTATCTGGCAGTGCTGACTTGGTGTACGGAGTGTCCCAGGGGTCCGTTTTAGGCCCGGTTCTATTCATAATGTATACCAGGCCACTGCTCCTCTTGCTCGGCAGGCATGCTGCGGAGAGCCAGTCATTCGCAGATGAAACACAGCTATACAAGCATATCCATCCCTCTCTTGTCGATTCTGCTATCTGGACTTTGCGGGAGAGCATTGATGATGTCAAGACATGTATGACACTCAGCAAGTTGAAGCTCAACGATGACAAAACGGAAGCACTCCTTATTCACGATCATAAATCATCCTCTAACTCAGCTCTCCCCACTTCATTTCATGTAGGTAACTCCGATATACATTTTATATTCTCCGCTAGGAATCTTGGTTATATTCTATCTAACAACATGTCTCTCAATAATCATATCTCTCACATTTGTCGCTCTGTATACACCACCATTCGTCAGATAAGCTCCATCCGCCAATATCTTACAGTTGGTGCAACAAAAACCCTAGTCTGTGCTCTTGTTCTCTCTCGTCTTCACTATTGTAATTCTCTTCTATCAGGTTCACCAAAACACTTCTTAGAAAAATTACAAAAGGTTCAAAACTCAGCCGCTATGCTAATTCTAAAGGCTAGAAAACGTGATCACGTCACACCACTACTTCATTGGCTCCCTATACAAGCACGTATTAACTACAAACTCTCTTTTCTCTGCCACCACTTTTTCTCCAATTCCCCCCCCCCCCTTCCTATCTAACCGAACTTCTCTCTGTCTATTCACCCCTTCGACAGCTTCGCTCCTCCGCAGACGCGCATATTCTTTCTGTCCCCAAGACTCGCACAAAAACATACGGTGAACGATCTTTCTCTTTCTGTGCACCCAAACAATGGAATTCTCTTCCGTTACACATTCGCAATACACCGACCATCACAACCTTCAAAACTGCACTCAAAACACATCTCTTTAATCTCTACTATCCTGACTGATTCCCCTCTCTGACCGAAAAACGATGGGACTGAGTGTCGTCCATGGCTTGAGATGTAAATAGTTTTAAATATACATTTGTTTTGTTCTATTTAATTAATGTATGTATGTCAATTAATTATTTTAGTTTTTTTTATGTTTGTTAAATTGTATTTACAGCGTGGTGAGCCCAGTACCACGCTATATGAAACCACATATAATAAAATAATAAAATTAAAAATAAACTGGAAACAACACAAATCCTTGGTACCGAAGCAAAATTTGTGCGATTTGCAGGGATGCAGCTATTTGCAGATTCAAACCAGTGTGTGAAATCATTCCGTGTTAGCACATATGACAGAAACGGGGCTACTTCAGAGTTTGTTATTTCCAGAATTCACTGAATAATAATGATTATTTATTCCCTTCACTTAAAGGAATATATAAGGATTTTACACCTGTTAATGATTTAAATTTGTAAAAAAAAAAAAAAATTGTGGTATGGATTTTTTTGGGATAAAATGAATAATTTTGATGTTGCATATTTTCAGAAAGTGAATAATGAATCTGAAAGCATAAGCAAAGATGTGGAGGAAATAAATGAAAAGGTTTGTGATATTCAATTTTTTGTACAAATTAAAATGAAAGACGTGACTTATACTTATATTTGTCTGCTCCACTTAAAAAACAAACAACCTATGAAATTGTAGTATACGTGGTTTACAGTCTCATTACGTGACCTTTTTTCAGACTGCCAGTGATGATGAGGAAGATGAGAAGGACAAAGGGAAAATAAAACCAAATGTTGGAAATGGGGCAGATATGCCAAATTATTCTTGGACTCAAACATTACAAGAAGTTGAGGTAAATTGTAATCTATTATGTGTTAAGTCCTTATTAAAATAAGGCTTAAAAAATAGAACAATTATGGAAAAAATCAATTGAAAAAAATCAACAAATGATTGGTGATTGGATTTATTCCAAAACTAAAGAAAACCTTTCAAGTTTGGGAGTTTTATGTGTTCTAAACAAATATAAAGTAATTTATCCTTTTGGTGGGATGTTATTGAACATTTAAAAACTTAATTTTTATATTGATATAAAAAGTGAAACATTTGTATGTTCTAGTCAGTAGAAATGAGTTTCTTTACGATATTTAAATAAAAACTGTAATAATATTCCATGCTTTTTAATAAATCAAATTTACATGTCACAGAAATCCTTCAGCGTTTATAAAAGAAATGTGATATTATGAATTACTGCTGAACCCTTCCAATATGGAAGTAGTTCAAATGTTTGTTTCCAGACAGAATATCCTATTTTGCATAATATTTTGATAGTCACACATCTCTTCTCTTTCGGTAAAATGGTTCTGTCATAAACAAGATTTAGCATGATATTTTTCCTTTTGTAAATTTGCAACCATTCTGACAACTCATAGAAAAAGGATCTATTAAACCTTAATTTGAAATAATTGAAATTAATATTTTTTTAAACTTCAAAACTACTGATTATGGTCAGAAAAATGTTTCCACTTGATCAGCCTCAGACTTTGGTAGTGAGCAATGTAATTGTTTGACTAAAAACAAAAAGGTTATTATAATTGAGAATGCTCTCCCAGTTAAGATTTTTAATCATTGTTAGTTAGAGAGGACTAAGAAATGGAAAGCTAAATAACTTTATTTACAACAGGTAAGGAAAATGATAAAGGAAAAGTAATTTTATGAATATATTTTTTTTTTAATTTCAGGTACGAGTTCCATTTAAAGTATCATTTCCACTGAAGGGAAAAGATGTTGTTGTGAATTTTGAGAAAAAGGTAAGTGAGAAATAAGCTAAATTATAGACTACCTATTCTTTTGTTTGCCTTTGGTTTAACACAATGAAATTGAAAAGGAAAACTTAATATTTCATAAACATGAATTTATTCAGAGATGGTTGGAAATAATTTCTTACAGAAGAGTATCCAGCAAGATATTTGTTAGGTTAGAATATTTATTTTATTCACATTTATGCTCATATTTCTGTTTAATGTGTCATAAAACACTGTTTCTTTATACTGAATTCCTTTCAAGCTTGTAAGTGTTTTTAAACTTGACTACAAGAAACCTATATTTTTTTTAATAAGAGCTATCCCGATAATTCCTATTTCATGCTTATTTTGTTTCTGCCATAAAGAAAGGGGCATGCACATATTATATTTCATATCATACAATAATATGACAATTTTGACATATTTTATATAATGCGGTACAATAATATGACAATTTTTACCCACCTCTACCCCTTATAATGTTATATAACATTTCCATTAACCAAAAACATGCGGAAAAAAGCAAATTTCAATTAATTCAAACAAAACAGACAATATATTGCTTACAATAATGTGCATATTATTGTATCCAAAAAATACATTTTAGTTTTTAATAATCTATGCTAGTTTCTTAAATTTGAAAAGAAGAAATTTTGCAAAAATAAGGATTAATTTAAAAAAAAACCATTAAAAAATGTTATATAACATTGCTGTTTCCCACCCCACATAACTTAATGATAAACTAACCCTTTCGCATTATAAGTATAAGGTATGTGCACTATACCTAATGGGATATACATTATTTATGATTACTTGTGTTTAAGCATTTTTTGTGGAGATTGGTGTTACTTTTTTTTTGCTTTAGTTCCTTTGTTGAGTAACCCATTTTGCTATTGATATTTATGAAAGCACCTAAAATTAAAAAAATATATAACCTTTGGTTCCAACAGAAATTATATATTGGTCTTAAAGGACACCCACCAGTGATAGATGGCACAATGTATAATGATATCAAGGTTGAGGAATCAACGTGGTGCATTGTAGACGGCAAAACTATACTCTTAAATATGGAGAAAGTGAGTTTTTATAGTGACTGATTCTTTAAAAAAAATGTTTTACTTAACTATTAAGCAAGAATACCAATATATCATAAATGTGTCTTAAGATAATGTCGAATGATAGTTCTTTGATTTTTTTGTGTCAAGAATCATTTATGTATAAAAAAAATTATTATTTGGTAATTTATTTTCCAATTTCTTTCAATAGTTGTAATGTGCTATTGATTTTTGAAAAAACCCTTAAATACTCCAGATTGTATTTTGCCCCATGACGGTGACAAGAGAAAAAAAAAAGACGATTTATTATTTATTTTGAAGGTTTATGGAAACAAATTTATATAGTAATATCATTGAGTGTATTTTTAATATTACTCATAACCTTAGGTTAACCAAATGGAGTGGTGGAGCAGGGTTGTCACCACTGAACCTGAGATTAACACAAGGAAAGTACAGCCAGAAAATTCTAAGGTAGTATGTTCACCTAATCTCCAGCCTTTGTTATTCTTACGGTCATTAAAATATACTGTTCTATTGGTTTATGTGGTGCATTGTTTTTTACATTTTCTAGTTTATTTTTTGAGTTGGACGAGTTTTAAAAATTATACGTTTCTATATAGCCCCTAAGGTTTTTTGAAAATAGTATTGGCAAGTATAGCATTACAGAGAGCTATATATTTTAACCATTTTCACTATGATTTACCTGTCTTTTGCGTGAACTGTAGGACTAAATTAAGGTTGCACCAATTTATAGGCGGTTAGTCTATCATTCTGTGGATTAATTGGTAACTGCATTTTTTAAAGATAATTCAATGGGCTTTTGGAATATTACAAAATGTTCCATATTTCTTAGATTTAAACCTGAAATTGTGTTTTTTATAATGTACCAAAACAAATATATGCAAGTCTCTAGGGGGCGCTATAGATGGTTATCTCTTTATTTCCCCACTGGTTTTTTTTTTTCTGTGTTGTTATTAATTTTAACACAATTACAAGGTGGTTGCCATATAAAAATTACTAATTTTATTCCATGCTGCAAACGGAAAAGATTTTGATAAATTAATATAATTATAATGTAACTGACTCTTATGTTATTTTGGTTAGGATGTTCCTAGTGGTTATTTTGTATGTCTCAAACTGCCCTAGAATGTGATAAGTCACATGAGTTCTCTTGTTTACAAGGGCTCAAATAGTACAAAAAGATGAATTCAAAGCATTATTTTGTGTGCATTTAAATCACAAGTTAAATCACTCAAGTGCATTATGGGCAATGACTTATTATATAAATGGCTTTGCATTAAGCTGGTCCAAATGGTGGGATGCTGAGAATTAAGATAAAATATTAAAGTGTGTAAATTAGGGAAATATGGGGAGGACTGCGTTCAGGTTGAAGCAGTAAGAACATATACACAGGGTAGAAGAAAACCCAAAGAAGGGCAATACAAAATAGTGGACATTTCAGCCAAAAAGCCATCTACAATAAAGAAACAGAGACAAGCACTGAGCTTTTTATATAGATATGTAGTTGACAGGAAATAGTAGGCATATTCAGTTACGTAAGTGACCCATAAAATCAAAGAATTGAAGATTACTATAAAAGAGCGAGTTACGGTTAGCAAGGATGTTGGATGTAAGGCATAATCATGGAAAGAACACAGAAGGCAAATGGGTGCTTGTCTTACCTACAGCTATTTGTGAATCTACAAAGAGAGAAAATAATCCGAAAATTAAGTGTTTGCCTTTGTATGGTTCAGAAAGATGGCAGTCACTAAAGAAAGATGTTGGTCAGAAAAGAAGGATGACATTCAGTAAAGAAAGATTGGAAAAGACTTTGAAACCTCCATGAATAGTTTACTGCCAAGAAACCTTAATATCAGGTGGCTCCACAAAATCACAAACGTAGCAATATATAGGTCATTAGGGTCACTTCCATAATTGTCTACCATTTTCTCAACTACATATCTATACAACAATCTAAGATTATTTGTCTGTGTGTTTCTTCTTTCTTTCGTGTAAATGAGGGACAATTTTGCATTGGTCATACTTAAAGGTTGAACCATGTACCCAACAGCATAGCTGGTATGAGAGTATTGGCAGCTTCCCCTAAGACAGTGGTCTGCAACTCGTAGCTCTTTGAAAGAATAGTTGTGGCTCTTACTCTTACTTATGCTTGATTTATATTGCCTGAGGCTCCAAAAATATTTTTTAAAACTGATATAATTTTTTGAAATTGACACCTCACTCAAAAAATTTTTTTTTTAGATAGGATGAAAAGATATATTATTTGTACACAAGCCTTAAGTGATACTTTGACGATATCAGCCTTTGATAGTAGTGATTCGCTCATTAATGGATCTCTTCTGACCAAACTAGTTGTGGCATAATTTAGTTCATCATAACTATACTAGCAAAGGTGTACTAGTCATGCTTAGAATTTCCCAGTCCACATGTTTTGGATAAGAGAAGTGCTAACAACAGTATGGTCACCTGATTATAATAAATTAATAATTCTTTACTGCTACTCCCAAATACAATTATTATCTCTGTCATTGTAAAGGACCCATATATTGAAATATTTATTCTACATTTTCAAAGCAAATTACATAAAAATGCTTGGCCATAACCTATGCAAGCTAGTTTGTTTATTCAATTATTGGTGCAACCTAAGACTAAAGGGTTGAATAAATAATGAATAATTGTATAATTGGAAAGTACACTTCATTTTTGATGTATTGTATTTATGAATTGAATTGTCTTCTACTTTTGTATATATTGTATCTAGCTGTCAGATTTGGATGGTGAAACAAGATCTATGGTAGAGAAAATGATGTATGACCAGAGGCAAAAAGAGTTGGGACTACCTACTTCTGATGAGCAGAAAAAGCAAGATGTTTTGAAAAAGTAATAATCACTTATTAGAATAAGAAACATTTTGGATCCACTTTAATTTATACAGAATTCCTTCTTTAAGTGTTACTGCCTGCAAAAAAATCTCTTTTCTCTCTTAGTAAAATATATATAGCATCAGTAAAAGACCACTTTAAAAAAAGTATGTGTATAACTTTTTCCCCTTCATTTTTACATTTAGGTTTATGGAACAACACCCTGAGATGGACTTTTCTAAATGCAAGTTTTCATGAGCTTTTGATGGCCACTTCATTATTAGATAACATTTTAAGCACATTGCATCTTATTTTTCTAAATTCTGGCATTTGACTGTAACAGTAACATAGTAAACAATTTTAACACCATGAACAAGAAAAATACCTAAAATTCAAATATCATGGTCACCAAATTTGCTTTATATTACAAAATATGTTTACAGTTCATTGCAGATCAAATTAAATACATCACTTTTTTTCCCTACTGAATGAAATTACAAATTCCATTATTAGATAAAAACTTAATGTTTTGAATGTCTAATTATGCATGTTGTTGAAAATGTGATGAAAGGTTGTTTTTACAAATAAATTATCATATTACCTAATATTTGTAAATATTCCATTAAATTTGTTTCCAGTTTGTGACTGGTTCATGTTTTTTTAATTGCAACAGCTGGAGATGCAATGGTAATACATTTTAAGGTGGTTGGGCCAACACAGATATCATTATAAAAAGCTAGATAATAATAATAATAATAACATCAATCATGAATTCAGTTCTTATTCAGCTGCGTTCTTATTCAGCTGCAAAATAAAAGAAGTGGTAGGAGATATGAAATTTGAAAAATCTAAAAAATTACAACCCGTCTTTCCTAAAATTTAAAAGCCAGGTTCTTTCTTAAAAAATTACTTCAGACCTGTTTACCCTCAAACTCTTAAAATCGTACAATATCATGACAAAGTTGTTTAATAGTAAAAAATAATCATACAGTATATATAATGTATATGCCTCAAAATCGTACATTGTACGCCAAAATCATAAGAGTAAACAGGTCTGTTACTTTAACTACAATAAATTAAAGAACATTGGCTTAAGCACTGCATTACCAGAATTAACTTTTCAATTAGAAATTCTTATCAAGCATTGTGAGCGTGGTCACATTTTGATCATAGAAAACAAAATATTGGATATTTATGAACTTTTGTTAATAAACAGCATTTTTTCCTAGAAATTGCTTATATTTTTAAAAATCAAATAGGAAGTATTGAATAAGTTTGAATACTATTTTATTATTGAATTACAATACATTTCAAGTTTTTTCAAGTTTAAAGGATTCAATACTACTGCAAAACTGGAAATTAAATAACACTTAATTAAATTTAAGAAAATAATTAAATTATGCTATTATTTTGGGTGACTTGGATCAGAAACAATGCAATCCCACAAATGATTGCAACAAATTACAAAAAAATTATAAAATGAAATTCATATTTAATGAAAAACTAAGGATGGTGGGATCTCATGATCTTTTCATAAAACATTTTTTTAATTGGAAAAAGAAATAAGCATGTACAAATTATTCAAAAGATTTAACTGAACAAGATAAATAATACATTTTCACCCCAAATTAAGCACATGAAATAAATATGAAGTTTTAAGAACATTGAAATTAAAAATTAAAGATTAAGGGTACTCATTGGTTATTCCATCCAGAACATTTAATGAAAACAGTAAGTAAATCTGGTGTGACATTTTACAGAGTGGTCAAAGGAAAAAATTTCTAGGTCTCATAAAACAAAAACTTTGTCATGAAACCTCTCCAATTATTGGATTTACCAACAGGAAGTGGTTCAGTCAGCTCACTGTTTAATACAAAGAAGTTCTGCAAAGTTCAGTTTCAATAAAGATAATGACATTTTTGTTGTTTTTAATGCTTGCTTAATTTTTTTTAATTATAAAAAAAATTATAGTAACTAAATTTATAGTAACACTAATTAGGTGGTTATATCAAAAACTAAGTCTGTTTAATATTTTTAATGACTTCAAGGTGTAAATGCATTAGCCAAAGTCTAATTGGAAGTTTTCACAAAACCCAACTGATGTCCAACCTATATAAATATTTGTCAATTTGATTGATGGACATTGCAGGAAATAATTTATTTAAAAATTGAAAACAAATCAGAATAAAGCCCACATCACTTCTTTCTTTCTTACTTCATATCATACTGTCAGATCACTATCAATAGTCTTTTCCTCACCAAAGTTTTAATAAAAGAACTAGAAGTAAACAAAGAAAATTTGTTCTTGGCAGCCATCTTGGGTGCTTTAAAAAAAATGTAAGATGCATTTCCGTTTTTCATGTGTACGTAATGGATACTTCTCACATGTTGAATAGGGGAACATTTTCATAACAATAGAATAAAATGTTTGAGACAAACTGATACGACTATGAACAAAGGTTTAACAAAGCCTCCTTATCACTGCTGGTAAACTGAAAGTAACCTCTATTACTCCATTTACCGTATCCCTCTAACTCAGTGGTTCTCAACCTTCCTAATGCCGTGACTCTTAAGTATAGTTCCTCATGTTGTAATGACCCTAACCTTAAATTATTTTCCTTGCTACTTCATATAAATATGTTTTTCAATGGTCTTAAGTGACCCTTGTGTAAGGTTGTTTGACCCCCAAAGGGGTCACGACCCCACAGGTTGAGAACCGCTGATCTAACTGATCCCTTATAATTGCAATCAGGCTTTACCCATATTAAATGAATTTTGACAGAACATTATTACTGTAGATTTTAAAAAAAAAATAATAACTTTTTTTTTTCTTTTTTGTCATGTCATACTAAAGACCTAATCTTTACATTTTAAATTTTTTTGTTGAGCAGCTTTGGGATGATTGTGAGTGTATCTTAGCCTTTCCACTTATTCATTGTTACTAAATTATAAAACATAAAAGCCCTAGACTCTAGGATGCACATCAACTGAAAAGTAAATTAGTTTGAAAAATGAAGTTTAAATAAATAAAGCATTTTATTGATGAACAATTACCACGTCAAGCGGGTGACATGATCAGTTTTTCGTTGAGTTGCCTTAATAAATCCTAAGAACTGCAACTCGGAAACTGCCCGTATGAACCTTGCTTTGAGCTCAGTACTAGGACTTCGTATTTTCAGTGGCATTTTTGTTTTTTTACCTTCCATGTTTGATGTCACAATAACAATAAAAGCTTGCAGCCAATCATAGAGATTAACAAGTGTCCCACATTCCAGGTGAAGCTTGTAAACAATACAAATGTCTGGCATTGTTTGTAGAATGGATTCTTTATCGCACTGACAACAGGGACACATCATGTACTTTCCTGGTTGTGTCAGCGCACATTGAATAGAACATCTAGGAACTGCCTTAATTTGATCCCGTATTGCACTCAAATCATTGAAGTAAAGGACATCACTAAATGGAAATGACATTGGACAAATAAGTAGCTGTCTGAAGTAGTTGTCAAGGCAGTTGAGAATCTCTTCTCGCAGCTTCTCATATGGGGACTTTTTACGGCTTGAAGACATTGATTGCAATTTCTCCTTCAGTTCGTGTAATTTAGCTCTTAGTGGTAGAATCTTCACTGTGTTTTCTTTTTGTCCTGAAAAATAAAAATAAAAAATTATAGTATTTGTTTCTTAAAATTTATTTTATATTACCATGTAAAACACTAATAACTGTATTTAAACATCCCACTGATGATCATTCATCCAATAAATAACTTTAAAAAATGAAATACAAATTAGGATCAAATCATAATTCAACAAAATAAAGGCTTATTATTGATAAGCTAAATCATTAACATATTTAAGTAGTTTTGAGAGGTTTAACAGCATCGACAAGACTTACCTGAGGGTTCTTCATTTTCAATTTCCTCTTCTAAATGTGTAAGTCTGTATCTATACCTCTCTACATCTTCAAACAGTCTTCTCAAAATTTCTACATCTTTATTATCTGCAATAGTCGATAAGCACAACCCCAGAAGCTCATGTAGGTCATCACTGCACATAATTCTTAGCAAGCTGAAGGTCTGTTTATATCCTTCTGACTCCAAAACATCACCAGCGAGGATTACAGAGTAGAGTTCTCTGATTTGTTTGCCAAGAGGATGTTTTGGCAAGTTCTGACCAAGGCAGTGTAGAAAACGCATTGATGGAAACATTGTGATGTGAAAAGTATGCATCATTTTCAGCTCCTCAGCTAGTTTCATTTTAGTACCTTGATCATCAGTCAAAAGTTTGACTTGATCTGGGACAGAGATCCCTTCAACATACCTGAATTAAAAGAAATGCAATTATTTTTTGACTACACAGGTGACTAGATATAATACAATCGTAGCATTCCAAAACATTCAACTGTGATACCTATTGTTTACATAAAGAAGCAATTCTTGGCCAATGGCAACAAATGTTTATCCCTAGACAGCACCACAAGATTGATTATTATACACATTTTTTTCGGCAATAAAATTTTTATATTACAAATAAAATAAAAATGTTTAAAAAATACATTGCTTTTGCTTATTTATAGACTCCTTACTGTTATTTAGTTAAAATCATATCCTTTTAAAAATTGATAAGAATGCAGTATTGTAAACTGCCAAGCTAATTCTGTCACACACACAGAGCTATATTAAAAGCAGCAAATCAAGCATTAAGAAAACAATGGGGCTCATACCACATGCACTTAATTTGATAATGTTGCATAAAGTCACCAGTGTAGTAAGTGTTAAAACAGTATTGACACCTAACAATTAACTTACCTCATAAAATTAGAATGTCTGCGCAGGTCTTCAAGCTGAGCATGAGTTAACTGAGACAATGTGCTGTCAATGTCTTCTGAAGGACTGCATAGTATGCTTAAAGGGTTTGAAAGAAAATGCTCCATCATACTGTACTGATATCCCATGATAAAATTCATGATAGAAAAATCATGATAAAGAAACATATCCAGGAGAAAATTGAAAACTTTAGGTCCCAATCTGAAGGGTATGTTTGTATTCATTGTAATTTTGTCTAATAGTTGGGAAAGATATTGAGAAGCAGGAGGGGCGTGGAATTTCTCCATGCAGAGTAGTGATGACACTGACATTGGAAGCAACTGATGAACTGTTGTTATAGCAGTTGCAATGCCTAAAACTAAGACAATAGGCAAAGCAAAAAGGTAGCTGCTGCACAACGTAATAAAATCTTGCAACACATTTGGATTCATACATTCTGCCTCTTCAAGCATTATCACAATCAAAGGCTTTTTTATCGTTTCATCCTTTTCCATTCCTCCAGCATTAGTTAACTTTGATGACTTTTTCCCTGCAGTGCCTGTAAGTCTTGATTTCTTTTTAGGTGACATCCCCTCTGTACTCTTGCACAAATACTTTCTCTCATACCATTTTACAAGAGTTGTCATTGTTACTGCTTTATTCTTTTTTAAGGTGGTCATTTTTTCAAAGTTGTCATCTCCAATGCAAATACTGTCTTCCCTATCTGTGTCATCATCCCCAAAACCAGAAACATTTGTCAACTGAAGAACTATACTACGGATAAGAGTAGTGATACGAGAACTGTCTCTAGTGAATATTCGAGCCACAAGTGGTGTCACATTTAACTTTAACATATTGCCTAAGTTTGAAAACATGACTTCATGGTCAGGGGTATTCACCCCAGTAATCAGAACAGCAGTTGGTATTTCACTAATAGTCACTTTGTCCAGGAGATCTCTATCTCTGTGACAAGACTTTGCAAACAGTAACAAGTCTTCAAAAATATGGGCATTCAGATCAGATCGGAAAATGTCTATGCGTGTGTGAACATCTTCCCATAGCTGCTTATATATTCTTAGACGATTTTTCATTAGTTTCTCATTCTTAGAGGTAATGTAATCTTCATCTTTAGCTGTCTTTAACTTGCCTTTATAAGCAAAACATCCCTGTTAAAAAAATTTTGAGAGGCACTTAATAAAAAAAAATTCTTTATAAATATTTCAACATTTTAAAATTCCTTATACTAAACTTTGCTTTTAAATGTTAACATTATAATATACCCAAAAAACTTTTAATTTAATTATTCTAACAATAACATCCAAATCCCATATTTTCAAATTAGGCATACCTTTATATTTTATTTTTACAGTACCGTACTACAGGTACGCCTATAGTACAGATAGCACGCAGCCAGGCTAGTAAATATAATTTTTACAGTCCTAGAAAGTTTAAAATTACTTGTACTAAGAACACCCTTGACTATAGCCAAAAGTGTCTATGTTAAACAATTATTGACTTAATCATGTAGCCTACTACAACAATAAACTCTGCCATTGCCTGTCCCAAGCCTGGGTGCAAAGGAGAGTTGGTATGAGGTCAGCTACCTAATCCGTGAAAAACACTTGATAAAGAAATGCCATGGTAATGAGGTGGGGGAGAGAGACTGCAATCAGGAAATGAGTAAAACAAAGTATGTGAAAACCTAAAAAAGGAACGCAACAAAACAACAAACTTGTTGGCAGGAAGCCTTTGTCAGCGAACAAACAACAGAAAAAACAGAATTAAATTTAAAAACAGGACTTAGCTGAAAAGTAGTTAATTGTGACAGAAAATAAGTAGGTGAGAGATTAAACACCGGCAAACGGGGAAAGAAAAGAGGAGAAGTAAGTCCACTGAGATTGGTCGTGACGTCGAGGGGTGGGGCAAAGTCTCAACATGTGAATGAAAGCATGACATTCATGCCATATGATGTCAAGGTTCCATAAGCCTGGATAAGCTTATTTTGTTGCGTTCCTTTTTCAGATTTTCACATATTTTGTTTACTCATTTCCTTTTTTAAAGAAATGCCAACAAGAATGAAAAACACAAAATTTCCAGCCCTAATAAAAGAGGACTCTTTTTCCCCCAAGACCAAGAATAGTTATGAAGCCTTGCGGGCAATCCCATGCTATATTGGGGGCCTCAAAGCCGAGATGAATGTAAAATTCTTGTGGACGGCCTATGCCCCAGATGGGGTAAAACTAAAAGGCATAAATAAAAATTAATAACCACTACAATAATTAGGCCTGTTATTATAACAACTAGCTGGGGCAATGCAACCATGTTGAGTGTGTAAATCATTTATAATTAGTATAATCTATAATAATAATTTGAGATGGTGTTCCAAATATCCATCAATGCTTAGTTGTATTGACCTTCATTTGACTTTCTTTTAAGCATGGCTTGTAAATTGTAAGGAATGTTCTTTTGTGTGTATTTCGTGTATAAGACTGGGGAAGCAACACGGTGTGCAATGAGAGTGGGGCAGACAGATGCACTCTAGAATTATTATTATATATTACATTATTCATATATCAGTAGGCCTTAGTTACTAGTAAGTGTAACTACTGTAAGGCCTAACGCTAATTGCCACATAGTCCACTGTCGTAGTATTGAAACTTATTGGATGGCCCATTATTGGCATTAATCGCAATGAATTAGCCTACAACTAGTTCAATTTAGTCAACTACAAGTAACATAATCATATTAACAGGATTATTAGGCTAATTAATGCGTAAATTAATTAAGGCCAGTGGCATAATTGGCTACATTACATTTGGAGGCCCCATGACATATTTGGTTCTGAAATCCCTGCATTCAAAGTCAAAGTTGATAATTTTATCCACATGAAAACTTTGGGTCCTTGAATATATCAATGGCCCTCTGTGGTCACAGGGGTTTCAGGGCCCACGAAACCAAAATAGCATGTCATTAAAAATTGTATGGATGGTCCCATGATATTACTATCCATCCATTACTAGTAAAAGTTACTTTAAATGTAGCCTAACATAGACTACTTAATATTATTAATATTCAATTGTAAACCATTAATTTAAATTAGTTAAATTACCTACAAGTAACGATATGACTATAACTTTTATTTATTTAATTGATATGCCATGCCTAATAATCTCTCATTTATATTTCGCTTCTTGACTTGTGTTTCCTGCTTCCTTTTTGAAAATGCCCACCCCCAACTCCACATGTTTTATATTAATAGTACTGAGTTTAAAAAAAAAAAAAAAAAGGCTAACAAGCTTGACGTTTAAATTCAAGTAAATTTTTTTCTCTAAGTGGGAGGCGACTATTATATTAATCAATGAAAAGCCATGGGTATGATGTAGTACTGTCTGTAGGCCTTTTGTTTAAAGGCTGGCGCAGGTAGAGTGTAGAACTGTTGGTAGGTTATTTTTAAAAAATATGCCTCAAGGTATAAGCACCCCAGTTGAATTCTTTATGCTATTTTTTTACATTAAATATCACTCAAATATTTATGATAGACGAAATACTATAGGTATGCAAGCAACTTTTTCAATAACACCCAGTCAAGCCAAGAGGAGGTCCCTAGGTCATAAATGGGGGCCTGTTACAGTGACTGTGAAAAGTAGCCGGGGGCAGGGATGCACGAAAAGGAGTAGAACCATGTGCCAGAGGTGTCTGAAGGAAATTCATGGGCCTTTTTTCCCAAATCACAAGTGTTAGGAGATATTCAACCTTCATCCATAGAAAATTCACACAAACGATACATGTAAGTCATGTTAATTATAATTCTAAGTGTAACAAAATATTACGCGTATGAATTGTGAAAATCATGATAGCTCATTCAGATAAATTTTAAGATTTTAGTTTGATTCATAATAAAGATTCTATTCAGTGTCAGCATTGCCATTATTATTATTATTACGATTAGGCTTGATTAGATTAGGTCATTTATTAAAGAATATATATGCAATAATATGGCAATATGGTTTTATACATGTAAATGTAAAGGAAAGAGTTTATTTTTTATTTTAAAAATTGCAATATATTTTATTAATTATTATGAGTGCTCAGCTTGTAAAAAGTGCTGTATTCTTAGCACTGACACTCCAAAAGTCAAAAGGCCTCCTCCGGGATTTAAATTTATAATATAAATATTATTGCCGATACTAACAAAAAAGATGATGATTCTATCTTCTAAAATAATTTCAAATTTGTTATTAATATGGATCGGATTGGACCTATAGGCTAATATAAAATATATCTTGTTTAAACTTAATTAAAGATCATGGATGATTGATTATAATTTATGATTTTATGATTATGAAAAAAGTGCTGCTAAGATATTTTATTACTTGCCTAATAATAAGCAGAAAAAAAGAAATATTCGTAGTTAGAACTAGAGTATAACTTAAAATTAAAGGTTAACATTAATCAGTCATTATTCAGACCACCTTTGAAACTGAAGTAGATGTATCATTATGCATTTTCACTATACTAAGAAAGTGAGCACCATGAAAGATTTTCTGTTAAGAGAAATAAATAAATGAGATTCCGCGGGGGAAAGTGACGTTATGGAACATACTTTTTTTTTTAATCACAGAGTTAGGAGAGTGTTATCACAGAGTAGGGTGGGAGGTATCATGCCCCATGCCATAAGAAATTTGTCGTCCTTATTAAAAAAAAAATATCATGAACGAATTGTTACATTATATTAAATTTTTAAAATCCACATTTTACTCAAAATTATCCGAAATTGCTGTTTTGAAAAGAAATTGTAAACTTAATTTTTAACGGTAGGGCAACAAAATTAATAATTCGCCCTAACCCGGACTAACCGGCACTATTATTCAACTATTGTCAAGGTCGTCAGCTATATTCTCGTAGCATGGTTGATAAAGAGAAGAGAGCAATTTCAAATTTAAATAGCTATGTCTTTCATTAAATTTACATTATGTCGCAGACTTATTTGTGCACAGAGAGACCTAAAGCAGTCGGTGTTTTTAGCAGCAAAATTTTCACACAATACCAGAACACTTTCTTTTGAGGTGCCATCGATATTGAGACACTCTGGTAATTAATTATTATTACTTTAGTGTGAAAACGAAACAAGCCATTTATCGATAAGATTTGCAACTAAGCACAAACGTTAAAATTAAATTTACGGTTAATAATACATTAATTTAATAGTTCATTTAATTGCCAATAAATAATGTCAATTGAGTTAGAGGGGTCAGAGGCTGCTGTTCACGCTTTTTCTTATGCCCTTACTATTTTTTTTAACTTGAAACTAGTCTTAACATCTTAACTAATTCTAATTTAACTAATTATTATAAGTGTAAGTAGCCTATAATATATTGGGCATTGGGGCATAACGCCATAGCCATAGGCCATCCACAAGAATTTGCCATTCATCTCAGCCCTGTGTTTCCTTTTCAGTTGCTTCCAGGTGTATTCCATACTTTAGTGTCTGCCTCCAGCTTGTGTCTCCATGTATTCTTAGGCCTAGACCTTCCTCTCTTTTTTTTCCCCAGTCCCCAGTAGTGGATTCCATGTTAAGGATTGTCTAGTGATGTTATCTGGGGGTTTAAGAAGAGCATGCCCTATCCACCTCCATCTTTTTTCATGATGTCTTCAGCAATAGGCATGTCTTTTCTAGTAAATCTTTGTTGGTGATAGTGTTTTCCCATTTAGGCCATTTGATGTTCAGGATATTTCTATAGTAATTCTAAGTAAGTGTCAATGAAGGTCTGTACTTCCTGCGTAATGTTCACTGTTTGCAGAGTCAGCCCCTTTCACTCCCATATTTTCTTTAATAGCACATGTGCCATGTGCTGACCTAGCCTTTCCCATTCTAGCAGTGACATCTGGTTCGGATCCACCATTTATTTATTTTTTATTTTAAAGTTAGCCTTTAATTTTAAGGGTGATAACATCTTTTCCTGCATTTGTTGCTGGTTGTGGGACAGAAGTGCAATGTCATCTGCAAAGTCTAGGTCCTTTGTTTATTCCCAGTGTCCACCGTATCCCTTTCCTCTTTTTGTGTGTGCATTTTTTTCATTATTCACTCAATAGCAAGGATTAATAGAAAGGGGGACAAATGACATCCTTATCTGACTTCTATTTCTTCTTCGAAGTCATCTGTGAGTCT